CCAACCCCCCCCCCACACACACGTACAGAGAGAGCATCCACGTCACGTAGCCGGCAGCCCCTCCAGCCACAAATCGTCATGCTCCTCATCCGCACGTGTCCTCCTCCTTCCCCGCACCCTCCCTCTGTCCTCCCTCCTAGTCGGCCTCACCTGGGGATTCGCCCACAGATAGTCAGGCACCCACTGGATCGACCTCGCCCGCGGCGCAAACGCCCTCCTCTGTCGGTTGAACGGCGCGATGTTCCTGGCGACGAAATCATGTCGCTCCGACAGTCGATTAGCCAGATAGGCCCGCCACTCCATCTCCCTCTCCCCCTCCCTCTCCCTGCTGCTTATCGGACTCACCCCCGCCCCTGCCCCACCCACGCCAATCGATGCAGCCGACGAGATGCCGCCCTCCTCCTCTGTCCTGGGCTGCTGCACAGACGGGGCATAGCCGCGGTGCGAGGACGGCAGAGCCGATGGTCGCTGAAGGGCCAGAGCGGCTTGTGTCATGTGTATTTGGCGTCGGCGGACGATGGGCGAGAGGGAGGGGTCGGGGGGCTGCGGTTTCTCTTTCTCGTGTGTCGTGTGCGCGTGCGCGGAGCAGGCAGTAGGCAGGGGCTGGATATTGGCATGCTTCTCTTCGCTTGTCAATGGCCTCGATGCTTGGCGCGAAGGCTGCCGAATGGGCTTCTCATTCTCGGCTTTGGCTGCTTCTGGCCTCGCCGCTCTCTCGTGTCTCTCCCGCGTCTGCACCATCAGCCGCGAGCCCTCATGACCTTCACTCCTCCCTCCTCCCCTCCCCTCTGTCGCCACATTCTCGTCTCCCCCTCTGCCGTCACCCATCATGTGCATGAGCTGCAGCCGCTTAAGCTGCATGTGCTCCCTCAGCCGCTCGCGAGGGCTCCTGGGTCTCGGCCCAGGCACACCCCTGCCCGGCACAGGCCCCCAGTCGTGGGCCGCTTTCCACGGTCGGGGGGGAGTGGGGGGGGCCACTTGTTGCCTCTGTGCGTGTGTCAGAGGGGCGGCCGATGTGACCGAACTCTCTTGGTCGACAGTGTCCGTGGAGCGACGGGCACGGCGTCTTCGGCGACGCTCGGCAGCCAGACGAGCGCTGAGAGAGATCCAAGGGGGAGGAAGGATGATTCGATTCCATGTTGGCGCGTCTGCGTGTCTGCGCTCACCAGACGACGCTGGCAGAGTCCATGTAGTAGACAGACGGCAAGGACGAAGCCACACACGAGTCCTCCTCCCCATCGGCGTCTCCCATTTTGTCTTCGTCGTCATTCTCAGCCTCTAGCACATCATCGAGCAGCCTCCCAGTGGGCGACTGCAGTCCATACCGGCTTTCACCATCACCCACTTGGACACGCGGCGGCTCCATCCCCCTCCTCTCGTCAGGTACCTCCATTTGCAGTGTCCGGCTGGAGACATCGTCGCATCGCTCGCCTCGTGTCTGCGTCGGACTCCTCCGGCTGGCCAGCCTCTCGCGGAAGAACTGCACGCCAGGCGGCTGTTGCCGAGCATAGGACAGGAGGCACTTGTGCTTGAGGGGGAAGTACGAGGCACCGTAGGGAGGGGAGAACGGGCCGCCGGAGAAGGACGGCGTGTCCATTTTCCGCTGGTAGTCGCTCCTTTGGCGGCATGCGCATGCGCGAGCTTGTGCGGGGCGTGGGGGCTGAGCAGTCTCTAGGAAGTGGCGGGAGAGCAGATGGGACGGGTGTGTGCATCCGCCGTGTGCTGAGGAACACGAATGCGGCGCTGTGTTGGCCGTTTTTCATGATGGATCGAACTCATGACCTCTGGGTGCCGATGAAAAGATCCAACAAGCAGACGGGGTGGAGGCAGATCTGTCGCAGATCTCGGCCGTGCGCTGTGATTGGAGAGCTGAGAGCGTCGCATGTATCATGTCCCGCACAGAGATCTATCCACAACCACTCCAGCCATCTGGCAGCGAAAAGATAAGAATGGACGCGGTTTCGCACTAAATCCGCTAAAAATCTGTGGGCTTCGGCCTGTTGGGTTGCTGGATGTGTGTGCTGCCGCAGCCATCGGAGCAGTCGATACTGCCCTATCCAACGCTTCGGCACGCAAAGTCGGCTGGCCGTAGGGCCGGACGTCTTGGGGTAATAATGAGCCGGGGAAAGCGCGAGAGTGGTGACACAGCAGCGAGGACTGGTCGCCGTGGTGAGTGGAAGGATGACTGAGTCGAGCTCTCGGCAGTGACTGATACATACACACTCGAAACCAGTTTTTTGCACGGGTGGTGATGGGATGCTTTTGTGTGGCGTGCGCGGCTGTATTAATTGCGAATGGCACGTGAGGGAGGAACAACGGACACTTCCAAAGCCATGCAGGGATGAGCTTATCAAAGGTCGATCTGGGTGTCTTTTTTGTCTGTCTGTCGCACGAGCAACTATCTCCCTCTCAGCCATCCATCCAACCAGGCACCATGCAGCCAACGTACAAACACTCGTGTCACTGACACAAGTCAGCCCGACCGACATTGTACAAATGCTATACACAGACAGACAGACAGACAGAATCTACCACACATGTACTGTACTCAACCACACTGTCAGTCGATTCATCCTTTGACACACACGCACCCACCCACTCACTCCCTCGGCCCTTCAGCCCCTCACGCACACACTGGCGGCCCCGATATGGCCATCCCCTCCCTCCTCGCAACCCTCTCCCTCTCCCCCACGTCGCTCTTGAGCACACAGATCCGCAGCTCCGGCCGGTACGTAAAGGCCACACAGTCCGCCGTCCGTGCGCACCTCGACTGACACGCAATCGCCGACGGGGCGTTCCTCAGCGCCTTGATTGTCTTCCCCCCAATATATCTCGTCTGTGTCTCGAGGCACGAGCTGTGTTTCGGCCCCGAGATGACCATGTGTGTGCCGAGCTCGGTGTCGCCTCCCTCTGCCTCTGGCAGTGGCTGTCTGTCTCTGTCGCTGTCCAATAAAAGGCAGTTGACGCCGCCTTTGTCAGTTTTGGAGGCGATGTACGAGAAGTGCCGGCAGGCAGGGGAGCGTTGGCAGCGCCGCTGGCAGGCCTCTGTTGAGGGGATGTCCTCGAGACGACTGCTGGCGACCTCTACCTCTTTATCACTCTTGCTGCTGGTGCTGCTGTCGGTGGTGCTGATGGTGGGGCTGTCGTAGTAGGCCAGCTCAAAGCCGCCACTCGATGGACAAAACTTAGGGCCGCTGATACAGAGGAGAGACACACATGGCATGGTGGCCACGGGTGTGTGCACGGCTGTCTGTGTAGGTGTTTGTCTGTGGACGGACGGACAGACGGTGTACCTGACGGCCACATCGCTGCCTTTGGATGGTCTTCGTTTGGCGTCGCTGCTCTTGAGGAAGCAGTTGTCCTCTGTGTCGGCCTCGTGTGTGGGCATGTAGGTGAAGAACCGACACATGTCCTCCTTCATGCACTTGGTCTGGCACTGAGACGCGCTCCTCACCTGCACACACCGACACACACATGGATGGAGGAAGGCGCGTCAAGTGAGTGGGTGAGGTGACTCACTCTAGTGGAAGCGATTGTCTTGGTGGCAAGGGCTGTCTCCTCGAAGCAGCCCCTGCCCCCGCAGCTCCTCGGCCCGCTGATGGCCGACTCCACCCCCCCTCCCCCTATGAGCTGGCGAGTGACGATGTTGCCCTCCTTGAGGTTGCAGTTCTCATTCTTCCGTGTGGGGTAGAAGGTGAAGTGCCTGCACTTCTTGTCCGTGAAGCACGCCATCTGGCAGTGCTCGGCGGAGAAGGCGTGCACTGCACTGATGTCGGGAGAGCCCATGTACGCCGCACTCTCAAAGCAACCTGCATTCCATTCCATTCCCACACCACACCACTCCCGCGGCATACACACACATGCATATGCCCGCCGGCCCCCTCCACTCCACTCCCTCCCTCCCTCACTCACCGCCCATGTCGCTGTTCATGAGCACCAGCGGCTGCCCGTCATGAATTCTGGCCGTGAGGCCTTTCTTGGTCACTCGGTAGCACCCCCGCCCTCCCCCGCCCTCGTGCAGATACGCCAACGCGTCGCAGAGGAGCGTCCCCCGCTTGTGGGGCATCTTGCTGGGCGGTATGTGGACCTCTCGGCTGCCCTGGTTTTGGCCGCGGTGGTCGTTCCCGCCGCCTGTGTTGGACGTGATGATGATGGGCTGCTCCTCTGCCCCTTTGCGCGTGAAGACGTACGTGTTATCACGCACCTGCCCAGCCAGACAGACAGACAGACAGGTAGCGACGGTGGTGGTGTGTGGGTTTCCTGTGCTTACGATGAGCTCCTCTTGTCTGCCGTCGAATATGCCTTGGCTTCTGAGGAATGTCATCCGCTTGATGAGTCGGAATATTGGGTGTGTGGTGTTGTAGCCCGATAGCCACAGGGGGGAGCGGTTCGAATTGTCGTCCCACTTGCCGTCCTCCCTGGCACCAACTGACATGGGGGCATGACCCACACACACCACACCACAGACAGACAGACAGACACACACAGATGGACGGCCGTCTGGCTGATGTGTAGTGTACCGTATCCCTGTTCGGTGCCGTAATACTGACACACACAGACCACACAGCGAGCAGAGGCAAAGGGATTTCATGTGTGTGTGTGTGTGTGTTGGTGTGTGAGAGGCTCACAATGAAGGGTATGCCTTCGGCAGCGAGGATGAAGGTCAGTGCATTGCGGTAGAGCACCTCATCGGGCTGGGCGTACAGGAACCGAGCGAAGTCGTGGTTTTCCACGAACAGAGCCAATGCCGCCACGTCACTGCCGCCACACAGATTGATTTGTGTCCATCCCCCCCCCCCCATCGCCATGCGGGTGAGCGTGTGGACTGGACCGACCTGATTTTGTTCTTGACGTCTGTGAGTGTTCTGCTGAGGTGGTGCATGGGCCTCTTCTTGACAAACACCTCTCGCAGGGCGAAATACATCGGGTAATTCAGCATCTGCAACACAGACAACACTCTAACACACTGGTGTTCCCTCATTGATCCATCTGCACTGGACTCACGCCGTCGAACATCTTGCCGTCTTGCCACTTGCCGACGTCCTGCGCCGCCTGGCTGAGCTCCTCCCCCACAGTGAAGACGCGCCGCTGCAGCCGCTCGTGGAAGTCCTGCCAGAACCACCTGGGCACGTGCTTGACGGCGTCGATTCGGAAGCCGTCGAACTCCCACCGCACAGCCAGGTCATCGACGAAGTGCAGCAGCTGCTCCCTCACCCATGCGTCCTCCTGCAGACAGACAGGCAGACAGACAGACAGACAGATGTGCCGAGAAACAGACAGACCTCTGTGTGTGTGTGTGTGTGTATGTGTACGTGCTTGAGGTCTGGGAGTCCCCAGAGCCAGCAGGTCTCGAAGGTGCTTGGGTTCTGGAAGTCCATTTTGCAGTCGGCGTGGAAGTACTCGGTCCTGTTGAACGGCGTTATCAGGTGGAGGTTCTCCTTGCCCACAGGCGCCACGTGGTTCATCACTGCACCACACACGCAAGCAGAGAGAGGAGGAGGGCGTCATGTGATGGGAGGGCGCGGCGCGTTCGGGCCGGCCTACCGACGTCTGCCATGATCCAGATGTCCATGCCGTGGCTGGTAGTTATGAGGCTCTTGAGGTCATCCTCACTGCCGAAGTGGGAATTGACGGCAGACCAGTTCCGCGGGTGATAGCCTGCCCCGCACACCCAGCCAGCAGCACACGCACGCGGCCGATATGACGCACTCAGTCTTGTGACATCACTCACTCACCATGGTAGCCGCACTGCAGCTGGTCTTGTATTGGGCTGATCCATATCGCACTGATCCCTGCGGACAGACAGAGGGACACACAACACAACACACCAGGCAGGCCAGCAAGTCACATAGCATTATCCGCGACACAGAAGCAAGCCATCACAAGCAGCCAGCCCACCGAGTTCTTTGAGGTACGGCAGGTGTTCCTCCATTGCCTTCCACGAGCCGCCGCAGTAGCCCCCCGAGGGGCACTCCTTCAGGCTTTTCTCACACGTGTCCTCCTTGGGGCTGGTGACGGCGAACCGGTCCGTCAGGACGTGATAGACCACTCTGCGAGAGGACACCCATTCGTCCCTTGCTTTGCCCTGCAGTGGGCGGGGCAGCCACGCCGCCACAGCCAGGAGAAGAAGGGCACGCGACAAGGCGGGGATGGTCTCTTCGGATGACGTCATTAGTCAGACCGAGAAATAGAAGGACGGTACATACTATTTCTGTAGCGACGATCCGTCTCGACTTTCTCTCTCCCCTGGGTTTGGTGTGCCAGTGGTTCTCCCGGACATCGATGGTTTGATGAACACCCCACCATGCACAAATGGGCCTGGTCATTTGTACTGCTGCTGCTGCTGCTGCTCGCCGCTAATACAGGTGGGGCGGGCCATCCATCCAGAGGATGCTTCGTGGCGCGCGTCATGGTTTCCATTTCACTCGTTGTTGGCTGCAGCGATGACAAGAGTTGTTCCATCAAGAGAGCGTCAAATGCACGTCACAGCAGGGGGGCGGATTGAAGCTTCTGAAAGGTGGGATCAGAGGAGAGGAAGCTGGAGGACTCTGACTCATCAACCATGGCACTCTCTCGGCATTGATTGCAGGGGGGGTGGCACCGCAGTGCAGCCCATCAGCGACCACAGAAGGAGGGCCTTTGCACAGGCCGACTCGCGAATGAGCGGAAACAGCGCGGGCGTCATGACTTCTCAAGAGAGCGACGACCCGAAGGAAGTCATCCTCACATTCGAAGGATGGTACTTATGATGAAGGCCACACGTGCACCCAATGCACCGTGACAACACGGTGTTGGTGGTGGGTGTGGTCATCTGTGTATGGGTGCTGCCAGGGACTTGCCTGACATGGACAGCTGGCCCAAGAGTGGAGTGGGTGACTACTATGGGCGGCTGTGTGAGGGGGAGATGCCTGAGGACAGGTGCAAGGACAGGTCGACTTGGAAGCTGCCTGTCATTAAGGGCGAGGAGAAAGACGGAAAGGGGATTGCCAAATGGGACACGGAGGTACGTAAGGAAGCAACGACACACAGATTCCAGTGAGTCAAGGCTTGCAGAGGGTGGGTCGATTGTATGTTTGGCGGGTGGGTCAGATGGTCCGCTTCCCTTCGACAGGGAGACCAAGTACTACGCAGCCTTTTGGGACGAAGACGACGCGGCGTCAGACGACTATGTTGGTGTGTGTGACAAGGACAGAGAAACAGAGCATGCTCCGACGGATGTCAACCTTACTTGTTTGTCTGTTAGGCAAGACAGAGCCGTTCAAGCTCGACACCTTCCTGGTTGGGCGCTGTGCTTGTCTGTGTGCTCTTGTATGTGTGTTGTGTCTTGTGTGCGTGCGCGTGACTCTCTTGGTGTCTGTCTGCCTGCAGAAGACGGGCGATATGAGGTTCAGCCTGTCACCCAATGGAGGTAGAGAGACATGCAGTGCAGGGAGCCTTAAGGCATCCATGGTTGGTTCCCTTGTCGCTCAAGGGAGGGTCAAGGTCACCGGCGAGTATCTCGGCGGCCCGCAAGAAATGCTTGCCAGGCAGGAAGGTGAATCAGACGGCTTACTCTACCCCACCGCCATCCATCATCACACACGTCTGTGTCTCGTGTCCATCCAGAGTGCGAGGCGGCACAAGAGTTCTACAACAAGTCTGAGACAACCCCGCCCGACAAGTTCCTCGTCACCGTCGAAAAGGCCTCAGGTCAGCCAACAAGCGAACAATCCAAGCCTTTCTCTCGAGACGGCACACATGCATGGCGTTGGGCAGGTTTGCCCAAGATGGACCTGACGTGCGACGGCGAGTTTGTGGGAATGCTGTGCGAGTCTCAGCTGGAGGAGGGAGCCTGCAAGGAGAACAAGAAGATGCAGACCAAGCAGGCCGACGGCAAGAACGGCGTCGCCACGTGGAACAAGAAGTTTCAACTGCCATATGTCAAGGGCCAGAGGTTCTACCTCTCCTTCTTTGAGCACGACACCATATCGGACGATTATGTCGGTGAGTGAGTGGGCTCAGTGGGAGGGAGCCTCTGCACATGTGCTTTAACGAACCCGATTGCTCGTCTGTCGGTTGCAGGGATGACGGAGACCTTCGTGACGGAGGACGTCCTGTGCAAGCCAAAACTGTCTCTGACGATCAAGGACAAGGGGAGATATAATGGTGGCTCAAGACACATACTCAACGCACTCAGACAGCAAGAGGAAAAACACCAATGTCTCACTATCTCGTGTGCAGGAAAGGTGGAATTGGCAGGGGAGATCTCTTTCCCGAAACTAAAGAAAAGTGGCGCGACATACTTCTCGCGCAGACAGTTGGTGGTGCAGGCCTGCTCTGCAGCTGCTGTGGCTTTTGCACTCTTCTCTCTCTGGCTGTGAGGATGGCACGTGTGTGTCTTTGGGGGGCGGGGGTTGTGGTGTTGGCAGGGAGTCTGGTACGCTTTAGACATCTGTGCCTTGCTTGTTTCTTGCTGCTGCTGCTGGACTCTCTGGGTCGTTGGTGTGTCTTGTGGTGTGTGTGTGTGTCGTCCTCACGAAGACCGACAGCCGTCAGTTGGACGTGTGCCATTGCTCACTCAGTGCGTGTGTCGGTCAGTCGTAAGGCAACTACATACCCACGCCCCCACTACACAAAACGTCAAAAACTCGCCGCCACACGCCAATCCACACACACGCCACGGAAAACACGCACACACGCCTCCTCTCCTGTCCCCCTCACGCCGCATGTCCATCAGTTGGTGGCCGGCTCTCTCTCAGGAGCATCGATGGCATACCGCATCAAATCCTCCAGCTTGATTGTCCGCAACGCGTTCTCGTGCGTAGCCTTCAGCACAACTGTGAAGTCAAAAGACAAGAGGGCAGATACAGCGTGTGTGGCGGTCTGTTGTGCGCTCGTTCTCTGTATACGCACTCGGGGGAGCCACCCCAGCTCTGAGAGCCTCGGCCCATCGGTCAGCACACAGGCACCAGCGGTCACCCGGTCGCAGCCCCGGGAAGTGGGGAGGATGCGGCGTCGACAAATCGTTGCCTGCAGGCAGGCATGCAGGCAGGCATCACATCAAGCAGCAGACACGAGTGGGCGCACCTACCTTGGGCTCTCGTGTAGGCGAGGAACTCTGCCGTCACCTGTGCGCACACCACATGGCGACCGATGTCCATCGGCCCCGTGTTGCAGAACCCATCCCTGCAGGCATTCACATGACAGGACCGACACACACTCAACCGAAGATGTACGTCTTTTCTGTCCTCTTCTTATGGCAAAAGGGCGTACCTGTGGAAGCCAGTCATTGGCGACGTGCAGCAGCACTCCAGTTGGCCGCCCAACACGTTCTTCGCACCAGTGTTTGTCGTGCCCATGGAGTATGTTGCCGACGAAAAGAGAGCAGCCGGCCGAAGAAAGGCTTTCGAAATCGTGCGTGTGTGCAGCAGCACAGGGAGATGCATGTATGTGCTGCCTCCCTCTGTCGCCTTGGAAAAAGCGCGCACGTCGTCTGCGACTAGGTCTGCGAGCTTAATCCGCCTGCCTCAAAGGTGAACGCGCGATGATGGAGGACGCCCACTGGGAGAGCATGGCGACGGTGATGCCCTACTTGGACCGCGGCGAGTCCAAGACCTCCCTCACGACCGACGTCGACGAGGATGATGATGACGGTGCGGAGCAGGACTACCAGTGTCGGCAAGGCAAGCGCCCGAAGGTCCGCCGTGTGAAGGCGAAACAACACGACTTTTTGACGAAGAAAACCTTCTCGGGCGGTCAGCCGCAAACGGCTACTGATGAGAGAGCGAGAGAGCCGACGCAGTCGCGCAGGGCGCCGCCGGGAAGCCCGAAGGGTGCCGGAGCTTCAAAGGACAAGGCCGCTGCGCCTTCTTCCAGCTCCGCACCCTCCCGGTCCGACGCAGCCCCTCCCTCCACCAAGGCCACCGACGGCTCTCGAGATGCCGGCGTGACGAGCAAGAAGAGCACAAGCACCGCCCCTTCGTCACAGCAGAGCAGCAGCAGCAGCAGCGGCACCAAACCCAAGTCGCCCAGCAACAAGAGTGGAGATCCCGTACAGCGTGCGTCATCCAAGGGGTCACTGTCGACGCAGCTGAGTCGGTCAGGGAGCAACCTCGGCTCAGAGCCGGGAGGCGGCCCTGCTGTCGACCTGAAAAAGAGAAGTGGTCTCGACGGCAAGTCGGCGTCATCCGCATCTTTGAAGACCCAGCAGCAGTCGCTGCCCATCGAGTCGAGATCCGGCGCGTCGGCCTCCCGTTCCCCTGACGGCATGATGAGCATTGGGTCGTCGATCAGCAAGGCGGCCAAGCCGGCACCGAGCACGCGACAGGCGCCGAGGCGCAGCAGGACACAGCCACCAAGCAACCCAAGCGCTGCATCGGCCACCTCGGCGCGTCGGGCTTCTTCCCGTGGGCCGGGTGCGTCGAGGGGTCGGTCGTCTGCTCGTGTCGGCGGCCGCCACGTGCGTGTGAGGCCTGGCGGTGTTGTGCCCCGAGGTCGTCTGCGGGTAGTGGTTGTGCAGAAGGGCGTGCACGTGCTGTGGGAGTCGGCGCTGAGAGGGCCTGGGCGGCGCATGATGGGCGAGGGGCTCACCAATGCCGGACTCTCTGCTGGTGAGTGAGCAAACCAACGGGACGGACGGACGCATGGCATGGCTTCATCAAAGGGACTCACACACCGGTCTGCTTGTCTTGTTGTGTCCCTTCCCCTCGCCCATGTCGTGTGCGGTGCGTGTCTGTCAGTGTACAACTTGGTGGTGCAGGGGAGCCGTGAGCTGCTGTGCTTGCACGACCCCGTGTTGGCCAACTTCAACCAGCTGCCCTTCTCCCAGACCCCCACCCCACGTGCCAGGCTCAAGGGCATTGCGCGGGCCCTCTGCCACTCCACTGTCCGTGACGGCGGCTGGGGGGCCGCCATCGCAGGCGTGCACTGGGCCGTCGAGAGGGGCGCATCTCTGCCAGACTTCTCTTTGGCCACCATGCGGCGCGTGATGGGGCACCTCAAGAAGCTCAAGGGCTATGTGCCTTTTGAGGTCAGTCTGAAATAAATGAGGGCCGAATGGGATCCATTCACTGAGGTTTTCTTCATTTCTTGTGTGTCAGGCTGCTGTTGAGACGGTTGAGGGGGTGCCTGCCATGGTGCGCTGGATCTCGCGTGTCGGCTTGGCCACCTTCTGGCACGCCCTCAACATCCTCTTCGGCGGTCTGCAGCTGGCCAAGGCGCTCAAGAAATGGCGAGAGGGAGGCGAGAGCGCCACACGAGAGGGACTGAAGGAGGTACCCACGCCCAGACACACAACAGCAGCGGGCAATTGTCTGTCAAATCCTTCCCTTGCTGCACCAGGTGCTTGACGCATTCGTGTCGACGGCGGCAGGGTCGTTCTTCATCATGTTGGGCGCGCCGGGAGCCGGCATCGGTGTGTGTTGGGGCCTCGCTGAAGGCATATTGGGCGTCCAGAGTGCCTTCACCACGCACATCGCAGCGTCGCTCGCCCCACTCTCCTCCGCCTCCCCTGCTGCGCCCGTGGTGAAGCCGCCCACCAGAGCCCTGCTCATGTCGACGATTGACCAGCACAGCATGAGCACGGTGGCCGGCTCCAGTCCCCGCAGCAGCAGCAGGAGCATCGACGACTCGCCCGCCAGCCGATTCAGAGAGAGGACCGTTCGCGAGAGGGGCGAGGAGTGGCAGCGGGTGGACCTCATGCTCAGCAGAGGGGCTTCATCCGACGACCTGCCGGCCGCATGGCCGGATGGGCCGTTGTCGGTAGGCTTGCCGCCCAGGAGCCACCATTCCCTGCCGCACCTGCTGCCCTCACACCACTCGGACCACTCCATGGCCCCCGACCCCTGCATGTGCCGCCACTGGTCGACAAGAGCATTTGCGCGGCTGCAGCGGGGCCTGGGGGGCGAGGGGGCCCTCCATGACATGAGCCAGTCGTATGGCTTCACGGGTGGGGAGGGATTGCGTCAGACGGTTCAGCGTGCGGTGCTGCGGCGGTGTGAGCGGTGCGAGCGGGAGAGTGCCATGGACCGCATCGCTGTGCCCTTGCCGCCACTGCTGATGCGGCGGAGCAGCTCGGCGCCCACCGAGAGTGAGAGGGAGGAGGAGGCGGCCGAGAGGGGCTATGTGGTGTCCATGCATGTGATGGCTATGTGATGGCTATGTGATGCGATGAGATGAGACGAGACCATCCAGTCAGTTTTGCGTTGCCGATCCCTCCTTGTGACGCCACTCCTTGGACGATTTTTGGATCGTTCGTGCTTTCCTTGTACACATGATGTGGTGGGTGGTGGCTTCGCGATGTCTGAGTGGTGCTTGCTGGACTAGTCGATGGGATTTTTCTTTTGTCGACTAGCGAGACAGATGTGTGTGTGTGTGTGCGTGTGTGTGTGCGTGCGTGTAGACGGACACCCAAGTGAAGCCAACTGTATAACTGCCTCCACACACTCACTCTAGTCCACTCCGTCGCTCTCTCCCTTGTTCTGCTTGCTTGTGTGCTTGGTAGTGAGTCCGGCCGCCGAATGAATGGCCTTCTATGTGAGCCAGCCGGCATGCTGCAAGCGACTTTTTGACCTGACTGAATGACTTGTGTGACGGCCGGCAGCAGCTAGGGCTACTTGACGGATAGACCATGAGCCGTACACACACATCTGTATGAGAACTGGGCTAACGAATGCACTGACATGACTTGACTTCACTGGTGTGGCTTTGTCAGCACCCCGTCCACCCCTCACACACACTCCACTTTGCCCTCCTGCCTGCCTGCCTGCCTGCCTGGCTGTCTGTCGGCTGTCTCCCTGTGTGACGGCCCGGCTGTGTGAGTGTAGTTGCTTAGGCTTGAGCAGTTCTGCTCGCTTGGATAAGCCATTCGCGCGCCGAGGCCTCCAGGGAAGACACAGCACGGACAGCCAGCCGCTTTCTCTGTTGATATGTGCACTTTGTGCAGTTGCGCCGTGTGGATAGACTGAGACACAAACGACATCATCTCGCTGCTCACTTCACTTGCCTGGCTGCTTTTCACTGGGCTCCTTGGCTTCCTTTTGGCTGGTGTTGCGCGCTCTCATCAGCTGAGGGCAACCGATTTTCCTAACCATGTGTCACACAGTTGAGAATGAATGAGACAGATTTGGTGCCGACAGGCGGCCAAAGATGCGTTTCAATGAATGGGCCAGCGTCTGTGTGTGGTCATGATTTCGGCCGAGCAAGCAGAGTCTATCGTCAATTGGAGGAAAAGCGCCACAGCGAGCACCTCACACACACACACACACAGAGACAGACAGACATACATCGGCAGCTTCTACTCACTAGGCAGACACAGATGAGGAACCCGAAGAAAATTCCCCTGACCCCCAAAGATGCCACTTCTACTCAGCTAGGCACAGACACTTTGGTTGATATATATATAGTACGACGCATAAATGTGTATACCCTCTCCCTCCCTCCCGCATTCGCCAGTCTGTCTCTCTGCCTGCCTACTTGTCTGTCTGTCTGTCTGTCTGTCAAGGCCCGCGGTATGCGAGCCGCGCATTGCATCTGGGGTGCAGCTCCTTGCCCCACACGAACTGCTGCTCTGCCACCCGCCTGGCCTCACTCGCCAGCGCCCTCAAATACGACACAGCCAGAGGAAAGCCGCTGCCCCGCGGCACAGGGAACCCCTCCAATGGGTCTTTCTCTTCCTCACCCTCCCCCTCCCTCCCAGGGTTCCTCTCGCCCTCTCCGTCCTCATCCTCTTTAAAGGTGCCATCCTCCGTGCTGTAGAGGGTGAATGTGGCCTCGACGGTGGTCTCCTTGGTGTGGCAGTGTGTCGTCTCCGTCATGGTGGTCTCGAGTGCCAGCAGCGGGAGGGCCTGTGGGTGCTCGAGCACTGTTGACACTAGCAGGGCGCTCCGGCCACGGCTCATGATGGTGGTCATGGTGATGGTCGATGTGACGCCCGTCCCCTGCCGCCGGGAGGGAATGGAGGGGCCACCACTGCGGAAGGGCTTGAAGGACGACCATCTTGCCCACCCTATCAGATTGCGAAGCTTGCACAGCACCTGCTTGCTCCTGCCGCTCGCCTGTAACACAGCCAGCACCAGACACGCAGACACGGCATGAGGATACAACGTCCCACCAAGCCCCACCCCCGCGCCCTCGGGAAGTGACCGTGATCTGACTCAGCCGTCGGTGTGAATACTGGCCCGTGACGGTGAGGACGAACTTGCCCACCCTCTTGTCGTGTGCGTGCTGCAGCAACGGCGTGATGGCGCGGTGCATGACGTATTGCGTGAGGGAGCCGTGACGCTCGACGATGGCTGGCAGGGGGGTCTGCAGCGGTAGGGACACATCGGTGGGGAGGACGTCAATGGCTTGGTCACGGAGCATGTAGAGGGGTGGGTTCTTGGGGTCCTCGCTGTCCACCGCTGACACGTCATCTGCAAGACACACAGACAGATCCATGCATAGATAGCCTAAAGGTGGCGTGCGGTGGGGTGGGGTGCCGTTCGCTCACGTACCGAATGCCAAGTTGCCGACCGACATGGTCTCGAGCAGATCCAGGAGTCGATCGAGAGCGCCAGCATCACCACCACCATCGCCCGAGCCGCCATCGCTGTCGCCTTCGTCCTGATCCTCCTGATCCGGGTCCTGTGGAGCCTCCTCACTGCTGCCATCCTCTCCCTCGCCCTCACCGTCACCGGCGCCGCTGCCGTCGTCTCCGGCACTCTCGCCACCAGCACCCTCCTCATCGACAGGGGCACCCTCATTCTCATCTTGACCGTCGCTGTCGTCCTCCTCGTCCTCTTCGCCGTCCTCCTCGCCGTCATCGTCGTCCTCATCATCGTCCTCGTCATCCCATTCGTCGCTGAAGACGCTGTCTGGTGGGTCGCTGTCGCCAGAGCCGATCTGGGCGATGGCACACCGCCCAGAGCTCTCCAGAGCGGTCAGCCGCAGCGTGGATGAGGCCATGACGGCAGTCGCCTTCCCCTGGTAGACGCTGGGGTCCCTGCCAATCTGCAGCTCAAAGCGACCGGCGACAGGGGGAGGGGGCGAGGCGGATGGTGTCGCGGGGCGGGTGGTGTCGGCACTCGATGAGCTGGCGGTGTCGGTGCTTGTGGCCGTCTTGCTCGCGATGTATTCGCGGATGTGACGGCCGAGTGACGCCCCGAAGATCGCGTACTGAGCGAACACCCGCGGCATGTCGTACTGCAGGTCCATGAGTGGCGGGATGGTCGCCATGTCATCGTCGCTCAGCTGCAGGTCGGAGGCCGGCAGGCCAAAATGGTGCAGCACCGCCAGGATGTCCGCCCAATCCCTCCACCTCACATCGTTGACTCCGATGCGCTCCTCTTCCCACGTGTCACGGTGGGCCACCAGTGCCATCATCTTCGCTGCGTTGCCGGCGGTTGTCCCTCCGAAGCGCACCACGGTGAGCATCTCGGAGCCGTCTTGCAGCGCCTCCTGGGTCTGCTCGGCGAGCCGCGCTCTGAGGAACGCCGAGTTGATGGTGTGACTGAAGATACGCGACGCCAGCCGAAGATCTTGCCAGTCCTGCGAGCAGATCAGCAAGATCAGCCACGACAAATGCAGCAGAGAAGAGATGGCGTCTGTTCGCTCGTGTGTACCCAGCGTTGCAGCCATCTTGAGGTTTTCTGGACGCAGTTGGCATCGAGTGAGGCAAGATCCACAGCCGCGGGAACGTCGCTCATCACCCGGGGAGCGGCTCAAACGCCTCCTCTTTTGACGTTTGGCGTCCCCCGCGGTCAGCGGCGCTCGCGAACGCTGCGGAGATCAGCGGCAGTGCGAGCTGGAGGGGGCAGTATGATGGGGGCTGAGACTGAGTCTCGCTGTAGTGACGTTCACGTTGTCAGCGCCTCTAGCTGTCTCGCGTCCGGTCAACATGCTGACTGCTCGTCTTTCCCGACGCTTCTCGCGGCTGGAAGCACTCGACAAGGGTAAGAGCCCAGCACCGGCAATGAGGTCCCACGACAGCTGCAATGAGTGTGTGCTCCCTGTTGCAGTGCCATTCTTCGCCACTGAACTCATGAGGGCGAGGCTGCCGAAGAAGCGGTCGGCTCGCCCACCCGGCTCGGCACCGCCACCAGCTCTCAGACAGCCTTGATGCCAGAGGAGGACGGTGACGACACCGCCAAGAAAGACGGCCCAGAAGGAGAGATTCCAGGCCTCCCTTCCAACGGGATGGGCAACACCACCCGGCTCCCCACTCCTCGGCCGCAGCAAGCCCATCGCCAGCCCTGTCATGCTCCAGCTCTCCCCGAAACCCCCATTGCAGCCAAAGGAGCCTCAGGTGCCAAGAGCCGCCCCCGCGACTATGTCGCTGTCGACGCTCCTCTCTCCTGGCGAGGCGCCATTCTCTTTGGACAACGACAGTCAAGACGAATGGTGGCAATCGCTGCCCCATGCCAACCAGCCAGAGAAGGCCTGCTTGGCGGCAACAACAGCTGGCCCCTCCGGCAACAAGCAGAGGTCCGTCTGCGATACCTGGTGCTCACCAACAGGTCCCTTTTGCAATGCTGCATATATATACATCGTCCGTCTCTGCAGGCCCACTTTCTACAAGACCGAATGCTCTGACGAGAATGACAGCCGTGGAGGAAAACACAAGAATTGGTACACAAGGACACACACACACGTGTCTCCGGATGCTGTTCTCATATTTTGGCCGCGTGTGCCTCAAACCCTTTTGCTGCAGCTGCAGTGGTCCGTCGAATTGTGATACCACCGAAAGGCGGCCGCACACGACTTTTTCCGCCCTGCTCGTCAACAAAGTGGCTGGGTGGTGGGCGCGTGTGAAACAGCCGTCCATAAATTGTGTGGACAAGTTCACCGAGGCCGACGCAGGAGTGGAGGATGGCTGGACCGAGCTGATGGTTGCCTAGATGTGATGTGACGCAGCTGGACGAAGAAGAGGAAGAAACGGATGCGACACGGAGACGGATGTGAGGATGCTGATGAAAGAAAGGATGATGGAGACAAGAACTGCTGCCGCCTCGACTGAGTCGACGGGGCAAGCAAGAGGGAAAGGGCAGCGCTTTGGCTTGAAGCACCGTTTTGGCGCTTGTGTCCCATGGTCTATGTTTATATGTGAGCTGCCTACCTGTGTATAATGTGTATGAGGCCAGACGAAATCCGTGTCTCCATTGTTATGGCATCCAATCAAGATTCAAATATGTCACCAACGCACATACATATATCGAGCTGGATATATATCCTCAAGCAAATATAAACTGCAGGCAGCGATCGGTGTCTTGGTTTCACTGCCCACGCTCTTCCCTCCTCTCTTGATCCTCCGCGGTCTTGATCGAGGGCGAAGTTCGGGTAAGCCCCGTCTTGCAGAAGTTCATCGGAGGTGGGGAGCGCACTGATCGCTCTGAGTGCTCCCAGAGACAGCTGATTGGGGGCCAATCTGGAGGTAGGGCTCGTCCTCTTTACAGTGACTGCGACTAGGGGACCGACATCAGCGGCAAGTCGCAAGCTCTCCCCTCGCCCGAACATTTCTGACCGACACACACATGAATGAATAAACAGCATGGGTGGGCGGGCGGTGAGTGTGTGTGGGTCAGTGCCTGGCTGATACTTTGACGGACGGCTTGGACAGCAACTGACTGGGCTCTACCTTTGTCGAGTGCTTCAAGCCGCGAAAAGCGCCGAGAAAGGCGAGCACCCAACATCTTGACCGAATGCGACACAGGCAGAGGCGCTGACGACGTCCCAGTCAACCAAACGCGAGACTCCAATTGCGAGACAGTCTCAGCCCTCATCAGATTCTTGCCCCCTCAGCTCGCGCCGGCGGTCTTGCGATCGTACACCCTTCTGCGGCTTAGGATGCAGCAGCAGTGGCGGCGCGGCAGGGTTGGCGGTCGGCTTCGACCGGCCCAGGCGAGGCGAGTCGGGAGGCGTGGTCCAGGCCGGAAGCAAGAGGAACTCAGCGGGGACACTGCTGACGGACGGCTCTCCTGAAGGAACGAACACACAGGCCATCCACACATACCATAGCCAGCCAGTGTGTGCATTTCTCCTTCCTGGCGTGGAGTACCTCTTGCTCGTGCAACAATCGGATCTGCTCATTGAGTCTGGCGATCTCGGCCTGAGCTTCCTCCAGACCCTGAACGACAGGCAACAGACGCAACACAGACATGGAGACATACCCAGACAGACACATAGATGGCCGCGTTGTGCTGCGGTGCGTGTGGCGTGTGGCGTGAGGGAGCTTACCCGTTCCTGCTGCTTGCTCTCTTCGTACAATGTCGTGCACCTGGTAGTTGAGCTCCTCGAGGTGTTGCTGAAGGGCAAACAAGTCTCGGTTGGCCTCGCGCGCCTCTCCCTCAGCCTCGCTGGCTTGGCGGCGGTAGTTGTCCTTGTCCCTCTCCAGGCCAGCTATCTTGGCATTTATCAAACTTCTCATGCGCTCATATCCCTCGGTATAGAAGTACTGCACACAGAGACCGAGACAAATGCGGTGAGTGAGTGAACGGATAAATGAGCTGCTCGCCTTGCCCTGCCCTGCCATCCTCACTGACCCGCTCACGAGAGATGCGCTCGTACCCCTCTGGCATGGGCGGCGGCATATCAGGCACGGGCGGCAAGAGGCCGCTCGAGAAGAGGAGGCCGCGAACGTACACCTCACCGATACCCTTGCCGCCCGCGCCGGCACCTGCAGCCGCAGCAGCAGGCAGCGCAGCATTAAGCGGTCGTCGCACACACGCCGACTGGAACTCGCCCCACTCAATCTCGTCCTCGTCCGCAGTCGGCGAGGGTGGCTGGCTGCCTGGCTCACCATCGACATCCTGCAGGCAACGAACCCACACAAACACACACGCACAGCCCATCCTACCATGATTGAGTGACGAACGTGTGTGTGCGTGTGGTATGGGGTGACTTACCGCAGGCGTATCGCTGTCGTTGCTATCGCTCTCGTCGTCCCTGGGCCGCTGCTGGATGGCGGCCACGAGCAGGTCTTGCAGCTCCTCGTTGTTCTTGGAGAGGCGAAGTTTTCCTGCAACAGCTCTGCGCGGCTCTCCAGAAGCTCCTCGTTGCGGGCGATGGTACTGTTCAGCAGCTGCAGACAAAATGAGAAGATCGATCACCAGACGAAGTGAGCGGCCCGCCCCTCGTGTGTGTGCTGTTTGTTTGCCTTACCTCTCGCAGAGTGGTCTGCCTCTAATCGGCCGCCTCCAAGCCGTCTTGAGAGGCACGAAGTCGCTGGTGCAGTGCCCTCGCGGCGGTCACCTCCTCCTTGAGGCAGCTCTCCAGGCTGTCGACCTGGAGCTGCTGGCCCTGGGCGGCGGCCTCTCTCTCGGCGACTTGGCGGCGCAGGGTGGTGATGTGCTCGGTCTTGATGGCCACGATGGCCCGCTGGTCCGCTAGGGCCTCTCCACCCCTCGCTGTACCACCGGGGGCGGCTGGTTTCCACCGTGACGTCATCGAGTTCCTCAAATGCGCTGCGCAGTGTGCTGCTGCCGCCGGTCACTGGGGTGAGCCGACCCCGAAAGGTGCGCATGGCCCTTCGGCGAGCTGCTCCCCTGATGAAGTCGAGCAGGGCGGCGTCTGCAGGCCAGAGCCACAAGCGCTCCACGCGATGGCGATCTTCTCCGGATGGCGTTTTGCGAGGAGCGATTGTGAACTTTGAGCCAAAGCTAAAGGAGCTTGTCTCAACGGCGCGATTTTCTCGACGATCTGTTGATGATTAGCACATCTTTCGCACCGTGCCAAATCCATCGTGTAGCGTTCCGTTCAGATGACAGGATGGCGTAACAGCTGGCCACAGCCATACACAGCCACGTAAGAAGGAAAGGAATGCATCGCCCAGCTAGTCGTCCCGGTGTGTCAGGTTGTATGTCAGTGATGGGGGCGAGGCGTTGCCTTCTCACGCCAAATGCATCACCATCGCGGGAGGTCCTGCGATGCGCACACAAGTGAGAAGACAGCCAAGGCAGTGATGTGATCCCCTTTCGCCATCATCCCGCTTCTCTTGCCTGCCTGGTGTGTGTGTGTGTGTGTATCTGTGCCACAGCCTCGATTTCACTTGATGGTTTCCTCCCACCCTGTCCGCTGAGATCTCGCGATGTCTGACTCTGAGATGCACCAGCAGCAACCCAGCGAGCCCTTCGCCGTAACTCTGTCACGCGTCGGGGCACCAGCCTTTGCCCTGTCCGCCACCAAAGAGTTGGCCTTCGGCATTGACGATGGTTCCCTCTCACCTGCCGCAGCGGCCCGGCTGCTGACGCAGCAGAAGGCCGACCCCAACGGGCGGTATCGCAAGGGCAGCTGGCTGGGCGGTCGACCTGAGCCTTGGCCTTCCCTGCTGCATCTGGTTGCCCACAAATGCGTCGGAGAGGATGGTGCCGCGATGCTGGACTGCCTCCTCCGAGCCGGAGCCTCCGTGAACTATGCCACCAATAGCTACCCCGACAACGGGAGACCACTGGACATCCTGCTAGGCCGCCTGCGTTGTGCCGACCCCCGTCTGCTGTCGGCCCTCCTGCCCATGATCGACACCCTCCTGAGGCACGGCGCCAGGTGCGAGAATGGTGGCTATGGTGCGCTGCGGTGGCTCTTCGCCAGTTCCGCCATTGAAGAGATCTCGGCCACGGAGTGGCTGGAGGTCGTCACCCGGCTGACCACTGCCGCAGCAGCAGCACCCACACCACCCAGCCTCTACGGGTACTCGACTCTCAAGTTGGCGTGCAAGTGCCGGTTCCGACAGGAGGAGGAGCAGCAGCAGCTACAGGAGCAGCAGCAGCAGCAGCAGCAGGACGGCTCGCACGATGGCCAGACGGACGCCCACATCGCCATTCTCGAGAAACTAGTAGAGGGGATGGGGCGGGAGGTGGTCGAGGCGGACAGGGGTACTGGTGCGTTGAATCACGCCGTGGACAGTCAGAACAGGGCCATTATGTACTGGCTGGTTAGGCAGCAGGGGGTGAGGGCTGATGGTGGCACGCTCTCTCGTGCTCACTGGGATGTCGATGTGATATCATTTCTGGTGCGTGAGGCAGGAGCTCAGGTAGATGATGGGTGGTGGCAGCCCCTTCTCGCGTTTGTGCAGGGATGCTACCACACTGCTGCGCAGCACCTGATCCAATTGGGGGCATCGGTAGACAGAGCACTCACCCACCTTCCCACGACAGCCAGAGATAAGCAGCGCATTTTGTCGGTGTATCACGACTATCTCAATCGCTCTGTCCCCACACACGCCATGGGCTTCATCAACACGTCCCTCGCCCCTCTGCGCACTCTGTCTGCCCTGTCGGCTTCCCACTCTGTGTTCGCTCTGAGTGTGTTGTGCAGTCAGATTGCCTCATACATAGAGCCCCCCTCTCTGCCCTTCTCAAATCGCACGCCACTCGGGCGGCGGCTCAATGCGGCACTGCGGTTTTTCGTCTCGCGTGTCTGCAATGTGGCCAGCCCGTCTCTGCGGCGGCGTCTGTTTCGGCACACTGCCTTCGTCACGCCACACACCACACACAGACACATCAGACAGCCAGGGAGAGGGAGGGGGCGGGCAGGTAGACGAGGGCATCGTGTGTGGCCTCCGTGACGTGATCCACCTGATTCGATGTCAGGAGGCGCAGCGCTATGCGCTGCCCCACATCGACAGGGGATTCGGCAATGGCGAGCCATTCGAGTGCTCGTTCGATGGCCGTGTGGTGGTGGGCGGGACGGGGGGAGGCCAGTGTGCGGTGAAGGTGATACATGGGTGGGAGGGGATGGGTGGGAGGGGGCCGCCCGGTGCGCTGTGGGGTGACGACGAGTCATCGGATGATGATATCTTGGATAGCGACGACGACCTAGATGAGGAGGACAACATCGATGAGGTCAGCAGAGGGGTAGACAGTCACATGCATGTGACGATTCGCTGTTGTTTGTTTGCAGGATGGTATGGATGAGGACGGCCTGGAGGACGGCGGGGACGGCGAGGATCTAGATGAGGTGGAAGGAGGCACGCGCACACACGTGCCATGTCATCCATGCCCACTCATCAATGTGTGCGGTCTGTGTATGTGTGAAGGGTTCCGTGGCCGAGGACGGCATGGGCGGCGACTCGGGAGAGGAGGAGCATGATGGCGATGTGATCGACGATGACGATGACGACGAGCAGCAGCAGCAACAGCACACGGAGGACAACCAGTGAGTTGAGGGGGGAGGGGTGGGTGGGGGCATTCTGCATGGCTACACACATGGCTGTCTGTCTGTCTCTCTCTCTCACAGGAGTGTCGATGAGATGGATGAGGAGCACAGCAGCAGCGATCGGCTCATCTGAAAGGCTGTGTACGCCAAGCGACTCGCAGACCACCGGCCTCTCTCCTCTGCTGCTGCTCACGGCTGTGTTTGGTTGTCTGTGTGGTTCAGATCACACATAACGTCCATCTACTGATTGCCCCTGGCCGACCAGTACGTATCGTGGCCCCCTGGCTGCTGCTGCAGGAGGGCGGCTGTTGTGTAGATGATGTCCATATCTGTGTGCTGGTTGGCTGGATGGCTGGTTGGCTGGATGGATCCATGGTACACATTCGATGTGTCTGTGTCTGTGTGTGTCCATGTGTGAGACCATTTGTGTGTGTGTGTGTGTGTGTCCGTCTTGATGCGTTCATCGTGTGTGTACAGCTAGAACCTGGTGGCCAGAAAATCCCCTTCACCCACTCACTCATCCATCCGTACTTGTCCTTTTCAACCACACACGTGTCCGATGTCGATCGTCGGCAGATCTTCCATTACTCCGCGCTGAGTTTCAATCCATGGTACATGACAGGTGTCACCGACGTGCTAAACAAAAGAAAGAGACAGAGTGCCTACGTTCTACCGTCCACACGCATCCGTCCACAGAAAATCCTACCTACTTGCGCGACTCACTTGCATTCCCCATGCACCCCACACGCGCTTCCATAAAGTGAGCTTGTGCGCCACTGCTTGGCTGTCCGGCACGTTCAAGTGATAAACTTACAGGCGCACCCAGATCCCCCGACAGGGAGAAAAACAAAAAAAATGCCAAAACCGGCCAACACTGGTCCACACATCCATCACATCTGTCCATGGACCCTCCAACAAATGGGCGCCGCCGCCCTCATCTCTCCCCATCCACATCACATCCGTCAACAAATGAATACCCCGCCCGTCCTTCCAGAAAAAAGAGAGAGACACGCACACGGCCGAGAGAGAAAAAAGCACATACACAATCAGATAATAGTCAGACTTTGGTGCTGACGGCGATGCCGCTGGGCGGCTGCTTCTTGTCTGCAGCTGTTGGTGCACTGCCCGACTCGGGGACAACGTCGGGCAGCTGCCAGAGCTTGCCGTGGGTGTCGACGTAATAGACCTCCGTGCGGTCCTCATGCCTGCAGACAGTTACATTACACCACACAGACGGACAGTCAGACGGACAGGCGGATGTGTGTATGTACGATCCATGGTACACACGTACCACATCCACAGTTTGCGCTCTCCGCCCTCCGGTGTGGCTTCCTTCTTGCCGTTGCCGAACCGCCTATCGCGGATCTGGCGATAAATCCTGTCCGCGTCAGCCGAATAACGCACCGCAGCACGGCGGAACGTTCGCACGCCTTTTGGACACACACACACACAGACACACACACACAGAGAGAGAGAGAGAGATGGAGATGAATGGGAGCCAGACGCATCCGGTGGCCGGGCTGGGTTGGCACTCACCGCCACAGACGAAGAACGGGCAGCTGCAGAGCCTGACGGGTGTGCCGTAGAAGAGCATCCACCCCCACACGAGCAGCACGGCACACATGGCCCACCAAGCGGGCTCGCGATACATGCCGTGCAGCAAGGCGCACATGAGGATCACGTACAGCACTCCACACACGTGGAACAACACATTCGACCTGCAGGCATATATAGCACAGTTGACACACTGACTGATGCGATGCGACCGACTGCCTTTGTCTCCTTCTCTCTGTGTGGCTGTGCTGTGTGTCTGCGCTCACACGTGGAACCATCGGTGGTATTTCCACAGCAGCGGCGGCTTGGCGATGAAGATGTGCCAGAAGAGGGGCAGAATGACCATCCCCGCCGTCAGCAGAATGTACATCAGCAGCAGCGGGATGAAAAAAGACCGGTTGTTCTGGCTCCTCGCGCGCTGCTCGGACGACAGCACGATGGCAAAAACGATCGCCCACGGAATCAGCAGGATGGGGGCACCCGTCAGCAACGCAGAGCGCCACGACAGCTTCCTGACCACACACACGACAAACACCAATTCATTCAAAGGGGATGGATGACACACACATGTGCTTACCCCTCGAGCATGTCGGCACATGCGTGGATTTGCGTGTTCCTGTCGGCACGAAGCAGCGTCGGCTCGGTCTCGTCCGCCCGCTGCAGCGGCTGCTGCCTCCCCTCACGGACAACGCCCGGCTCCAGATCGACGCTCGGCTTCTTGGACGAGGTTGCAGACTCCCGCCTCTCGTACTCTCGTTTCTGCTTGCGCGACGGCGTCACCTTGAGGTCCAGGCCGCTGTAGAGCAGCTTCCACCCCGGCCCGTCGATTTCGGCGCCCTCCTCCTCGTCGACAGGCGGCTTGGGCGGCGGCAGGTCGGGCATGCCGCCGCCGCCGAAGCTCCAGGGGAAGCTGATCTTGAACGAACGGCGGCTCCTGGACTCGGTGGACCCCTGGGTGTGGCCAATCGGCAAAATGTTGGTGTGCGTGGCGGCTGCAGCGGTTCCTGTGGCTCCTGTGGCCTCGGTGGTGGCGCTTCTGTCGTCGTCTCTCTCCATTCTCTCGAGTGATGCCTGGGATGCGGGGAAGGGGTTGGATGAGCCGCTCTGAGGGGCAGCGGGTGCCTGTGCCTGCTGTGCGGGACTCTCCTCTGCGGATGGCTCGGCGGCCTCTGGGAAGGGGTTGGTCTCCTCCGCCTTGCCATCGACCTCCCCAGCGAAGGGATTCACCCCTTCCTCTTTCCTCTCCTCCATCGCAACCCCTTCAGCCTTCTTCTCTTCCGGCGTGGCCATGACGCGCCGGAACGGTTACACGCAGATACCCTAAGGCAGATGGCATGGCGAGGCCGATAGATTATTCCAAGTGGGATGACATCGCATGCTCCGACGATGAGGACGACGCGAAAGATGCGCCTCACCGCCTGCCGTACTCATCGGATGAGATCAGCGGCTACAAGGTGCGGCAGAATGCACCCAAGAACGACTACCCCAAGCGGTGTGCGGCGATGGGCTGCACCGCCACGGCGCCTGCCGGATCACCGATGCCGATGTGCCAGCAGTGCTCGCTGGTCCACTACTGCTCGAAGCAGGTGAGAAAGGCAAAAGCGGAGGGGCGCATCCATCCATCCATGGATGTGTGTGTATCTCTGTTGTTTCTCGGTTGTGCTGTCTGTCAGTGTCAGGTAGATGACTGGAGGAGGCGCCATAGGAAGGAGTGTAAGAGTGCACAGAAGGAGTTCTCCCGTCCCCCTCTGCACCACAACCGGGCGGCCGTCATGTTCATCTACGGGTGGCTAGACGAGGATGCCTTCTTCTCACTGCAGGTGAGAGAGCCTTTTCTCGACAGAGAAAGGGAATACAAGACATGGCTCTCTCGTCTTCTTGAATGCAGCGCGGGTCTCAGCAGGAGATCCTCAGAGAGTTCGTGACGGCCGGCCAGCACTCCGGCTGGCTGATGCTCAGACTTCGCCAGTTCCACGACCGCAGCTTCTGGTACGGCTGTCACGGTGCCATCGCAATGAGTACGTGCCTGTGTATATGTGCCCTCTCTGTCTGTCTGTCTGTCTGTCTGCAGCGTCGTTGGGCTGCACAACCCGGACAATCCGCAGGGGTCGCGGCCTCGGTGCGCATACACGACGGGCGAGGACGGCGCGGCCATATATCCCTGCTTCATGCTAGCCCCAGTGGCACGGCGAGGAGCCGAGATGCCCTGCTGCCCCCGCAACCCTAAGATGCTGGTGATGCTGGAGGCAGCGCGCAGGACGCTCAAGACGGCCATCGAGACCTGCATGAAGGACCCGAGGCATAGGGTGTTTCCCGTGTCGTTTGTGACGGTCACAGACGCGTGTGACACCCTTTTTTGGCGCAAGGAGGTGGTGATCACCGAAATGTGGACGTCTAGCGGCCTCCAGAATCGTGTGTGGTATTTGCGGCCGTCGATCGACATCACGCTGAGCAATGCACTGGTAAGGTCTAGGGGGCTGCCGCGAATAAGAAAGACACCGCAATTCTGTGTACGTGTGTCTTGTGGTCAGATGGAGGCGAGTTACGAGGTATTCGGGCACGAGCTTGGCCAGATCCTGGCAGAGAGATGGGCCTCGTGTGGCCATCGCATTATTAGCATACCAGAGGACTATTTGCGGCGTGAGGCGTGGCAGCGCAACCTAGTCAACCGCATCGCCACAGACGGCGGCGCGGTCGGCCTCGACGCCATCTGCGAACAGAAGGCATGGCGACAGCCGCCCCGCCCATGTAATGTGAGGGTGTCTGCAGATGGGGGTGGCGGCCGATGAGGTACGCCACGTCTTCATGGAGGCGGCGCTGTCGTTCACCGACCTGTTTCGCATGCACCTGATCGACTATGCCGACGAGATGCACACCAACAGCGCAGGACGACAGTCGCTGGCGTACGAGTGCTGCATGACCGATGACGAGTACGCCCGCGTCAAGGAGGAGATAGACGTGCTCAACCCCCAGTACTCGCCAGACATGCAAAGGACCATCGACATGCCCTTCCCGGTACACACATACACACACACACAGAGAGAGAGAGAGAGATAGCGAGAGAGAAATCGCTTTGTTGCTGTGTGCAGGGCTATTGCGAGGAGGTAGAGGGTCCTTTGGTGGAGCTAGCGGACGGCACGCTGGAGTCGGAGACGTGCGTGACGCTGAGGTCGCAGCTGGAGCCCGTCGCGCCCACAGACTGCTGCCCCTGCTGCGGGGCCGACAAAAAGGGAAGCAGTGGAGGCGGTCCAGTGATGATGAGGTAGATGGGGGGAGGGGCGGGGCGGGGTGGGGTGGGCTTGTCCATAGAAGGGCCTTCGTGTTTGATCCATATGTATATATCTGTGTTTAGAGGACGTATCATGCCTTTTTCTCTGCGTCAGCATGTGCGTGTGTGTGTGTGTGTGTCTTTGGGTCGTCCGTCCGTTGTGATGCCGGTCACTGCATTCACGCACTGCAAGGCGGTGGATGGGGTTTGATGGTGTCGCATCGAATGGACGATCAACAGACATAAACACCTGCACCATGGTGCATACCATCTCTCATTCAATCCCCGGTGCATATCCGCATACGAGCGTCCGCACACTCTAGCCCATTCTCGACGCGAGCTCGTCTTCTTTGGCAGATCTGTTCGCCAACAAACAATCAGATGGCCGCCAGAGCACTGTCCGTCGCTCGGCGCGGACTCCAACGCCACCACAGCATCTACCAGAGGACATCAGCGCGTCTGCTTCGTCGCTTCAGCTCGGCAAGGGAAGCTGCCAGATCACCCGAGGAGGCATCCTCCGACTCATCGAATTCAGCCGACGTGAGCTGGGACGTGACGGGCAACCTGAAGCACAAGCTGCACGGCTCTCGGCCGCTGGTCATGGTCATTCACCCGGTGCTAAAGGGCAAGCGGAAGAGGGAGATCCTGTGGGACGCTGAGGAGGCGCTGGGGCTGGTCAGGGCAGCGCATTGGGACCCGCTGCCTGGACCTACTGAACCTGCAAGTGCGTGAAATGTAGGGGTGGCAAGGCAAGGCAAGATGACGGTGGCTGCATAGCCTGTGTGTGTGTGTGTGTGTGCAGATGGGTGGAATCAGAATGAGCTTGCCAAAGTGGGTCACCTGCAACGGCTCGTGCAGGAGGGCAACCTCACGCTGCCCAAGGAATGGCACTTCCATCGGTCAGTCAGGCACCAAGACACGCGCAGGACTGCCCCATCAGCCAGGTCCTTTCTCTTCCCATCAGGACGATGCGTGACGATGACGAGAACACCGATGAGGAGAGCGGCGACGAAGATCTCGACCCCAATGAGGCGGCGTGGCGCAACTCCACACTGAGGCGGCAGTGGGCCGAGTCGTGCTGTGTCAGAGTGCGGCAGGTCCACCCCGGCAACTTCTTCCAAAAAGGCAAAGTAAGGAGGAAAGACACACACACAGATACACACCGACGATCCGCGCACTTGTCCTTTCCTCTGCTTGCAGCTGGAGGAGCTCGCCATGATCTACACGTACCAGCCGGCCCATTACGTCTTCGTCAACTCGTCCCTCACCGGCACGCAGCAGCGCAACCTCGAGCTCATCTTCAAGAACGCCCTCAACGTGTGGGCGGCCCGCAAGATGGAGCGCAAGGAGCTGCCCATCGCCGGCCTCGTCCACTCCGCCACCAGCATCGCCGCCAACACCACAGAGCTCGACATTCTCGCACAGGACCGGCTGAAGCTGCAGGCCGACAGCGGCAAGGCACTCGTCGGCACAGAGGGGCAGGCGGACGCCCTTGCGCAGATCGGTGCGGACCATCTGGGCGAGGCGGTGGCGCCGGTGGATGAGACTGAGGAAGAGATTGACGAGAGGAGGGGGGCGGCGACGAGGGTGGAGGTGGTGGACCGCAACAGAGTGGTGCTGGAGATATTCGCTCTGAGAGCGAGAACCAGACAGGCCATACTGCAGGTAGGTCGGTCAGACGCAGACGCACGCCCACCTAGATGCTATGTGGCGGCACATTGCTGTCTGGGTGTGTGTTGTGTGTTGTGTGTTGCTGTGTGTCGTGTAGGTTGCTCTCGCTCGTACCAACTACTTCAAGTCTCGCCTTTCCCTCAACACGCCCAACCGGTTCAAGCAGCTGCTCATGTCCGTCAAGGCAGCTGCAGGTGTCCAAAGCACCGTAAGCACCAGAGACACACATACAGACAGACAGACAGACAGACAGAAGCACCAACACAACAAGCCACACGCACAAGTGGCAAGGAGTGTATCTCTGTTTATGTGTGCAGTATGCCGATTGGGTGGAGGACGTAAGCACGACCTACCACCTGGGAGACGGCGAGCAGATCGGCGAGTACGAGGGGCGCCTGCTAGAGATAGCCATGACCAAGCTGCGTGCACAGCTGGAGGAGGTCAAGAAGGCCAGGAAGCTGCAGAGAGAGGCCAGGAGGGGGGCGGGGACGGTGGCTTTGGTTGGCTACACCAACGTAGGCAAGACGGCCATCATGAACCGGCTGACGGGCAGCGACCTGCGTGTGCGGGACGTGCTCTTCCAAACACTCGACACAACCATGCGGAAGGTCCGCCTGCCCTCGGGCACTAAGGCCATTCTGGTAGGCGGGCTCAGCAAAACACGTGACGTGTCTGCTGGAGGCGAGGCGAGGCGTGTGTGTGTAGGTTGATTCGGTTGGGTTCATCCAAGACCTGCCTCACGCCCTGTATGACGCGTTCCAGGCCACTTTGGAGGAGACGATCAACGCCGACGTGCTGCTGCACGTGAGGGACGTTTCGCACCCCCAGTGGGAGATGCACAAGCAGGTGGTCCTCGACTCTCTGCACGACTGCGGCATGTCGCTCGAACGCCTCAGCTCCAATGTGGTTGAGGTCTGGAACAAAGTCGACCTCCTCGACGAGGTGAGGAGAGACACATGTATTCGGGAGGTCTCTCTGTATGCGTGTGTGTGTGGTGTGTGGTAGGAGGGGTTTCGGTCGATGCTGTCAGAGCTGCCCCCCAACGCCGTGCCCGTGTCAGCCATGGACGCATCGGGCCTCGACGTCCTTCTCAAGGTGATTATATGACCACGGCGGGACAGAACGACACCACCCCACATCATCCACCAACGCGCTGCACTCATTCCCTTCCTTGGCTCATTTGTTCAGTTGCTGGACCAGGTGGTCAACTCGGTGTTGTCCCGGTCGACCATCACACTACGGCTGCCCGTCCGTGAGGTGCAGGAAAGGATGCGTGTGCTCAACAGGCTGGGCATCACCATCTCCTACGGCCGGTCGCTGGACGCCGGGATGACGTCCGACTCTGAGGGGTGGCGGGAGACCTTCGCCAAGGAGGATGAGGACGAAGAGGGCGGCATCCGTGTGTCGGAGGACGGACAAAGTGTGCTGGTGGATGTGATTGCTGACTACCCCGCTTTGGCCAGGTATGAGGCCTTGTACGAGAAGAGGGGAGGGGAGCCTGGGGAGGGGAGGTGATGTGACGGCCACTAGTGTAGGTGGGGGAGGGAGACGACTTGATTTCTGTACAATGTGGATATTAACATGTGATGGTGGTAGTGGTGGAAATGAGTCTCATACGATACGCACCCACACAAGCGGAACTATCTAACGAACGTATCTTCACCCCTGCCTGCCTCCCTCCTATCCCTCTCAACACATACTAGCTAGTTGGTCTCTTCCTCTCGAACTCTCGGCTGCCGCCGCTGCTGCTGCTGCTGGTGGTGGTGGTCTTGGTGGTTGTCATCCGCCCCATCCTCGACCATGAGCTGCTCCCACGCCTCTGGCCGCACTATTTCCTTGAGGGCCCTCGCTACCTGCCCACCACCACTACCACCATCATGGTCATGCTGCAGCTCAGACAGACTGGCCTGGAGGTGCTCCAATGCGCCACACCGGCTGCCGCCGTCTGCCTGGTCGGCCGACTGGCACTTGCGGAACAGCTGCTCGGGGCTGCCGCCCTCCGTCAACACCTTCCTGCACACACACACACACACACACAGACACAGACACAGTCTCTCACTGGGGTGTGGTGTTGATCATGCCTTGTTGCCCTTGCCCTGCTTACATGATGTCGTGGATGAAGGTCGTGAGTCGATGTGTCTTGAGGTATGTGTGCAGCAGGGCGGTGGCCTGCCGCACGTGGAAGCGGCCGAGCAGGTGCTGCAGCAGCAGCGTCACTCGGCACGTCGACACGGCGTGATGCATCACCTCGCTAAGCGCCCCCCTGCTTGTGAGGAGCGCCGGGTCGTCCTCGGCAGACGACTGCGATGAAGAAGGGCCCGACAGCACCGCTACCAAGTCGTTGTAGTGGCCCCCGTCAACCACACACTGACACAACAGCCGAACAGAGATAGATAGATGTGTGCCGACGGTCAGACAAGTGAGTACCTTGACTAGGATGGTTCTATATGCGACCGGACAGGCCTGGCTCCAGAAGCCCAGGCACCGCACCGCCACCAGCGGCTCCCTCTGCACCAGCTGCGCTTCCAGCACACCCACATCCACCGACGAGGGCAGCAGCTGCAGCAACGCTAGCAGCACCGTCGCCAGCCGACACTCCACCTCTCGCAGATCCCCCTGCACCGCCGCAAGAAGCTTGCCCGAGTCAGCAACGGCAGACGTCAGCTGTGGTGTGCCGAGGGCCGCGTGAAGTGGGCCGTGGATGTCGCTGTGCAGTGATTGGATGAGGGCGGGGGGTGCGTGTGGGAGGCCGTCGTCAGGTGTGGAGAGGGCGACGAGGGATGAGAGGGCTGCGATGGTGCGTGCGATGAGGGCCTCGATGTTGAGGTAGGGCAGGGAGGGCGACCGCTGGATCGACATGCTCAGCGAATCCAACCTGATCCATCCATCCATCCATCCATCTCGCAAAACCAATCTCTGGGCTGCTTTCCACCTGTGTGTGTGTCCCTCACTGACCAGCACGTGAACGACGGCGGCACGAGTCGTCTGCCCTCCTCCTGGGCATGAACCGTCCTCCTGTCCATCGGCCCCCCAGGTGCCCTGGCCTCGTCGATGGCCTCCCGCACCCGCCCCGCATACGCCTCCACCGCCCTCATTGGGGCCTCGAACACAGCCTGCAGCGCCTGCAGCAGCTCGCCGTCATCTGCGGGCAGCGCGAAGGCCAGGCCCTCTTGCAGCGCCCCGACGAACTCCCGGATGAAGCCGGCATTGGTGTTGAGGTCGCCCTCGGCCGTGAGTGTCTCGTGGCTGGGCGTCTTTGTGTGTGCGAGGAGGGATGTGAGGACACTGGCGAGCAGGGAGGCGTCGGCGATGTGGAAGTCGAGACAGAGGCTGGCGATGAGCTGCAGGGTGGGGGGGTCGGACCGGTGCTTCTGCCCGCGCCAGAGGGACCGCGCCAGGCCGGCCTTCTCGCAGTGGTAGAACTTCTTGATCTCCTGTATGCCATGCGGTGACACACAAGACAGGACAGGGGCCGTGCCGTCACTGCATCCCATCGCTCTGTGGTCGTGCAGGGTGTGGTTCGTTCGCCACCTCAGCTGACCTGCACGACTCCGAGGCTCTGGAGGCAGTGCAGGTAGTAGTAGTGCATCCATATGACCTCGAGGTCCTTCCATGGCTTGCCATAAATCCTCTCTATCACGTCCGTCGGCGCCACCCGGAATATCACCGCCATCGCCCGGCACTTGCCGTCGTGCGCGAACCGCGTCTCGGCCTTGAAGCTGAGGCTCAGCAGGTGCTTGACCGCCGGGTCCAGGTGCCCCCCGCCCACCACAAAGGCCACCCGGTCCACACACAGGAGGTCCGCCGTGTCCTGTGCAAACAGGCCCTTGCCCAGCTTGCCCCGCCTCATCGCCCCAAACGGACTGGTCGCCCGCTGCTTGCCCACGCTGCCCTTGTCGAGGTAGCATAATGCGTCCAGCCCTTCCAGCAGCGCCGACGACTCGATGGCGTCGATCGCCTGCAGGGCCGTTTTGCCCGGCTGACAATCAGATGGAACCAGTGGGCGAGAGGGCACAGCTGCAGCACTGGCGGCTGGGTCTGCCGGCGGGGGCTGGGACTCGTTCGCCAGGGCGGCCTTGCGCGGCGTCCATTGGGCGTCGGACAGCCACTCCTCCACCCAGCTCTTGCGGAACGGTGCCGCGTCGATGCTGAGGTAGGCGCAGAGGTTCTCGGCCACCGTGTGCAGCGACTGCGCCTCTTGGCGGCAGTGGTCGGGGGAGAGGGTCTGGTGGATGCGCTGCTGGACTGGTGTGGCGAGGGTGTAGTGTGTGGGCCGCATGAGTATGGGTATGAGGTAGAAGTAGAGGGCCTTGATGGCCAGCTGCGGGTCGGCCAGCAACAGGTCCTCGAACAGCTCCAGGTGGTGCTGCCGCAGCTCCCACTGCGCACTCAGCAGGTCGTGCATCTGCTTGAACGTCCGGGAAGGCGCCGGGCACAGCGGTGGGGGGGCCACACGCGGCCGCCCATACAGCGACCCCGCGCTCGCCACCGTGGCCTGGTCGTCATCCACCGCCCGTGCCGCCACGGGCGCGGGCGTCGAACCAGTGTCGGGGTCGAATCGGCAGGCCCACTTGGTGAGGGCCAGCTTGGCGGGACCCAAAGGCAGCCGCCTGATGACCTTGTCGGCCATGGTGCGTGCCGCCATGGTGTCGTTGACCTCCCCCAGGTGGTGCTGCACAGCCGCCAGGTCCAATGCGGTGTCAGGTGGCTGTGGCGATGGGCCGCCGGGCAGCGGGGGGAAGAGTGGCGTGTGCGAATCTCGGATGGCGTTGTCGACAGCCTGGAGGTGGAGTGTGTCGGGTGAGAGGGAGAGGGGCTCGGTGAGTGGGAGCAGGGTGGCGATGTTGGTGAGGTCGACCTCTGGCGCCAGGATTTGCAGCGCCTCGTGAGGCGAACTCAGCAGCTGCAAAAATAGTGAGTGAGTGCATCACATCACATGTGAGTGACAGAGTGATAGAGCGAGCGGTGAGTCCGGCACTCAGCAGCTCACCGGATGGAGGGGGAGACGCTCGTAGGCAAGGCTCTTGAATATCTGACACACACACACACACACACACAGGGGCACATTGACTATCTTCCACGTGTTCATTGTGGGCTGTGGGTGGCGGTCAACTGTCTGTCTGTCTGACCTCTTCGGCTTCTCTGCTGCGAGTGTTGGGCATGCCCTCGGCACCGCTCAGCTCGACACCACTCGGCGGACACACGCGCCTGCCACACACACACACACACACGCACATGAAACACCTCCCTCCCTCCGTCCCGCTCTCTCTGCTTCACTTGTATGTCTCGAGCACTTGCAGCGCCATCAGCCCCCGCTGCGCCAGCGTCAGGATGACGGCGTGCGGCACCGATGGCGACAGGTTGTGAATCACCGACACCGCAGGGCTGGAGTCGGGCGACAGGGCGAAGAAGTCACTGTCACTGTCACAGCGCTGGTCCCTCGGCCGCCGCTTGTCGATGTCGTCGAGCAGGCCGAATATGAATCTCAGTCGCTGGTAGTCGTAGGGCGACACGCGGGTGTAGCACTGCTGGGTGAGCAGGGTCTCCAGCCGCTGGGAGCCGAGGGCGTCCGTCATGGCCAGACCCAACGGGATGGCCGTCATGTAGTAGGGGTCCAGCTCGTGGGTGGTGGTGTGGGTAAGGCGAGAATATGGTGCCTGCACAGACAGGACACACACGAGCCGAGCCGCCAAACATTAATTGCCCGGAGGGACGTCGGTGGTTTAATCTATGCCTCCCCTCCCTCCCTCCTCCCTCCCTCCCTCACCATGTGCCCTTTGCAACTGTGGCCGATCGGTCCGGCGGCATTGCTGCTATGTGCTCTGTGTTTCTTGTGTGTCTGTTTCTCGGTTGTGTGTGGGGTGAGGAGGAATAGCTGGACCCAGAGGCCGACAACCTCCTCCTCTGGTATGAGGTAGTCGTTGCCGTACTCAAGGGCGGTGTCGAGGTCGAAGGCGCTCTTCTCGAGCAATGGTTTGAGCAAACGGCGCTGGTACCGATGCAGGCTGTCAGGCTGCTTCGGGTCGCCCTTGTCGTAATACCTGAATGCCCGGTATATATACGAGGGAGGGGGAGAGGGGGAGAGGGGGAGAGAACGAACGGACGGCTGTAGGTGGACATTTCTGTCCGTGTCTGTGTGTCTGTGTGGTCTGTGTGTGGTGAGCTGGCTGACTCGGAGAGGTTGAGGTCGATGTTGAGAAGGTCCATGTGTTGGCACCACTTGCTGTTCTTCTGCACACGCTCCATCTCCAGCCGCATCAAACTGTCCTTCCAAAAGTTCCTGAATGGGAAACCACACACACACATGGGTGTTTTCTCCCGCCCCCCACTCTCACTGACTCACCCGAAGAGGTCGATTCCGAGCCTGGAGAGGCACTGTATGAGGTGCTGTTTGTCGCCCACATGGTGGATGGTGGGTTTGAAGACCGCCGAGAAGGCGTGTCGCTTTATGAGGCCGCTCAGGTAGCCGAGGGCCAGCTCGTTGTCGATCCTGTGAGGCATCCGCATCAGCTTACGCGCAATCTGAGCAAACAAGTGGATAAGCCATCCATCCATCCATCCATTGATCGGCCTCGGTGTCTGGTTATCTTGTGTGTGTGTGTGTCTGTGCGTGTGTACGTCAGTGCATGCGAGAGTGAGTTCGCTGACGTCGACCAGGAGCGGGTGTCGGAGTATGAGTGCGATGCTCAGGTTGATGCTCTCCTCGGACCGCAATGTGTTGGCGCACTCCTGAAGCACACCCACCACACACAACACATCCATCCTTGACAAAGACAGACAGACCAACAAGCGGCCGGCTGACCGTCACGAGCTCCTTGACGTCTTTGACCTGCTGCTCTGGCATGGTCTTCTCGAGCGTCTGCCACACCCATCCTACACATACACACACACACACACACACAGAGGAGAGATCACCTCCACACCGTCTCTCGTCCGTCTCTGACCAGCCTCCAGTCCCCCAGTGGCCCGCCGCAGCCCCTCCTTGAGTGCGATGAACTCCAGTGCACGCTTCAGCGCATCGGGGCCACGCGCTAGGTGCACCAGCTCCCGGAAGCGGCGCGAGAACAGCCGGCTCCTCACTCGGCGGAGCATCTCGTTGGGCGATTTGGTGCTGAGGGCCGTGGCGTCCGATAGGTCCTCGTGCTCGCCCCACTGGCCGCTGGTTGTGATGGTAGCGGTGGCACACTCGTTGTCGAGGCCTGTGAGGAAGAACGGACCCTCCAGTGACACACCTGTCAACACACAGCAGACAGACAGACACACAGATGGAGAGTGACGGGTGCGACCATTGTGTGTGTGTGTGTGACGGACCTGCGGTGTCGAGAATGTCTGTGTGCAGGAGGTAGTCGAAGCTCCAGAGCAGGTCGTTGAGGTATGCCACGGTCCCCTGCACCCGCGACGAAGGCAGCAGCGGCACACACGCCGTCAGCACCTCCACCAGCTGCGCGAGCCCCTGCAGCACACTCGCGGGCCGCGCCCGCTCCTCGCGACACTGCTGGTGGAAATCGGCCACTATCTTTCTCACCAGATCCACCTGGTTATTGACAATCGCTGGAACGTCATGGCCACCCCTCTCTCTCTCTCTCTCTCTCTCTCTGTGTGTGTGTGTGTCCTTAGTATTGCTCACTGACCAGTGCGACAGCAGTGTCGGGTGAGGGGCTCTTGTTGAGCTCTGACAGCAGGCGGAGGCAGCTGCTGGTGGAGCCCTCGGCCACGGCCGTCCGGACACGCTGCTGCCGTATGGACGCCTCGCTCACACCCAGCAGGCTGCCCAGCCGCAGACAGTGGGTGAAGGACAGCAGCGAGGCTGAAGTAGACTCCTCGGCTGTAGGTGAGTCGGGAGAGGGCCATGCCACTCCGAGAGCATCGCGCATGGCGCCCTGACGGTGGATGGATGGCACACCAATGCACGTACGCGCTCACACACTCACCATGACCTTGTTCTTTTCTTTTCTCGGAAGTACCGTTTGTGTGAGCAGGTCCTCCTTTCTGCAGAGCGTTTCGAACAGCTGCTCGCCGGTGATGAAAACACCACCACCGGTTGCCGCCTCCTCGTCGTCCACCACTGCCTCACCGGCCCCGTCGGCCGCCCACTCGTCCTCGGCGCTCTCATCCTGCTTGCTGTCGATCCAGCTGGGCCCCACATACAGCCCGAACTGCTCCTGAAGCTTGCGCACCCGGCTGAGTGTCTCCAGGGTCTGCCAGTGGCTCCACCGCAACGCTATCGGGGCACTCGGCGATCCACTTGGCTGCTGCTGCTGCTGCTGGTGCTGCTGGTGGTGGTCGAGAGGGTGCTGGATCTTGGGTGACGACCCATCGGTGGTGGTGGTGGTGTCTTGGAGCATGGTGTTATCGGATGTTTCCAGGTGCGCCTGCAGCAGCTCTGTGGCAGCGACGGCCACGACACGTGCCAGTCGCTCGAGGTCGGCTGTGGGTGAGGCTGACGGGGGGGCCTCGTTGGTGCTGGAGGAAGGGGGGGCCGCCTGATGAGCAAACAAAGGGATGGATGGCACGAGAAATGGGCTCATGTCTGTCTGGATGAAATTTCATTGTACGTTGCTGGTGCGGCTGACGAGGCAGTGGAGCTGCGGTGCTCCGTGCAGTGGGGCCATGGCTGTGGGGTCTGCGGCGTGTATGCTGGTGGCGATGTCGTCGAGGTGCACCCACACACTGGACACGAAGTCCTGCAACACCGCAACACTGACACACACAGACACATAGAGATTACGGTGAACACTGTGTGTGTGTTGTTGTTGTTGGTTCCTTACGTGTCCTCCGCAGTGTCGGAGCAGTCCAAGATCTCACACAGACTGAGGGTCAGCTCCTCTCTCCAGTGGTGGGGGTGCTCCTCTCCGCTGCTGTTGATGGTGGGACTGTCCGGTCGGAAGCGGTGCACAATGGCCCACAGGCGCTCTCGGCAGAGGTCGCGCAACGTCACGCAGTAGTGGGGGAAGGTGCGCACCAGCCTGGAAGCAACAGAGAAGTGGATTGATTGTGTGGTGCATTCATTCGGTGCATGCCATGGTGTTAGTTACTTGATGGCGTCTTGAAACGACTGCTGGCCCATGTCGGTCAGCCAGACTACGTGCTTGACCACATTCCTGCAGCCGTGATGGCCATGCGACACAGTACATGGATGGCCATCACTTATGGCACCCTGAGCTGAGAGCTGGTGTTCTGTTGTCTTTGTCGCCTCGCCCTACTTACACGAAGTACTGCCCGTGCAGCTCTGATGCGATGATGGTCTTGTCGACGTGGTACTTCTTGAGGATCAGCGCCGCCGCCCGCAAGTCCATCTGCTCCTTCAGCCCACACACCTGCAGAGACGAAGAACCAACACAGCCACACAAGACACCAACACAACACAGACATCCATGTGTGTGTGAGGTGTGAGCAGTGTTGTTGTGTGTGTCACGATTGGCACCTTACCTTCTTGGTGTTCCAGGCCATGCTCTCCTCGAGCAGCACCTCGGCGTCCTGGGACAGACCCACCTGCCTGAAGACAGCCAGTGAGCCGGGCAATGAGCTTAGCTCGACGTGATTCCTTTGTGTGTGGTGCGGATGGATGTCTGTCTGTCTGTCTGTCTACTTGCAGTGTGTGAGCAGCTGCAGCAGGCACTCGGCACGCAAGTCCTCGTCGCCAATGCAACGCATCAACGCCACAGCCCTACACATACACACACGATCCCATCACCCTCTCCCTCCCTCCCTCCCTCCCCCACCCACCACACCCACCCCTCCCTCACCTGTTCTGCACCTCCCAGTCGATGTCGGCCGATGCGGTGGTGGTGAGTGTGAGGTCCTCGACCATCCGCATGACGTAGTCTTGCACCACACCGTCGCACGACAGACGGTGCGCCACGCAGAAGGGCGCCACGTGCTGCCGCACCTCCTCGGCTATCAGCGAGGGCGACAGGGCACGATTGAGCAGCCAGAAGGCCACACGCTCCCAGGAGCCGCCCTCCAGGTCGCTCAGCCGGACGGGCAGCTGAAACTGACTCCTGAACCACATGAACAGACACACAAAGGAGAGAAATGAGAGAGAGAGGATGAAAGGGTGGCTGCGGTTGGTGTGTACCGGAGCTGTGCGCTTTCAACGAGTCGGCAGTAGAGGATGCTGATCTCGTGGAAGTGGTCTCTCCCCCTCTCGCCATCATCCCCACCCCCACTGCGTGTGTCGGCCGCCATGACGGAGGGGATGATGGACACGTCGCCTCCCGACGGACCGCAACCGTTCCAAAACACCCCGTCCTTCACAGCCTGTAAGGGGAACCACCGGTGCTCACGATGGTGTTGAAGTGGGCGGCTCCACGGCAGCACCGGGCCGCCATCGGCGTCATCAGCTGCTGTCCGAGTATCGCTGCCAACGACCGGCGACTGACCGATGCACACACATGGACGGATGGATGGATGGATGAACGGATTGTTGTCTTTTCTCGGTGGCCCACCTGTTGTCTGTGAGAGAATAGACATGACAGCAGGAGCAGCGAGGCGGTGGGGCTGCTGCACTGCTCCTCCAGAAGCTTGGCGCGATCCATCAGCCAGCTCAGGAAACGATCCCTGCAACACAACACAGCACATCACGGCAAGAGAGGAGGGGCATCTGTCGACTCCATCCATTCCAGCTTTTGCCTGTCGTCGTCAGACAAGGCACCTGTGTCTGATGAAAGGCAGTACGTGTGCCCGCAGCCAGCCGGGGAGCAGGGCCTCGTCCCGACCCGACAGGTCGGCAGGCAACTCCTCCAATATGCTCAACAGCTGCACACGCACACCCAGGCAGACGGTCGGACAGAAAGGACTAAACCACAGCCACGGTGCCAATCCCTTCAGTGACCGTCGTTGCTGACCTCTGATGACCGCTCGTCATCGTCACTGCCGAATTTGGTGGCGTGTCTGCCGACAACAGCCACCAGCTCCTGCACCCGGCCGCCCTGCGCCAGCTCCACACACAGACGCGGGAGGGACGATTTGCGAAAGGCACCCCAACGATGCCTGAAGTCGCCTGTGCGTGTAGACACCAGGATACACCGGATCGCCTCTGTGCCTTCGTGTGTGTGTGTGCACTGTCTGTCAGCCAGTCATTCACCTGTGGTGTCCTGTGTGGGCATTGTTTGGAGCAGCTCGAATGTCGCGAGCCTGTGAATGGTCTCCTGGATCGTCATGAGCGGCTTCGTTGATGTGTCGCCGCCCCTGGCCGTGGTGCAGCGACGCAGCACCTCGGCTGTGCGCTTCAGCAGGTCCTTCGTCTGCACTGCATCCCTACACACACACGGGAGCACCAAGACCTGTGCACGTCTGTCTGTGCGGCGTCGGGATGCTGGCCGACTGACTCACTTGCACGACGCCTCGCAAGCCTGCTTGGCCACGAAGGATGGTTTGGAGGGCGCCAGCTCCTCCAAGAGGGGCATGATGTCGTCGACTTGTGTGTCCTTGGCACCCTCGCAGAGCTGCTTCAGCATCAACTCTACCTGAAGCAAGGGAGGGAAGGACAGCGCTCGTAGTGGGTGCGGGTTGCCTCTAGCTGTACTAGGCTGTGCTGACCTTGAGTCTGAGCATCGCCTCGTTTGAGCCAGCGGCTTTGAGCGCCTGGAGCATGGCCGACTCCTCGCCCATGTCCTGACACCAACACAACAAACTGTGTGGCCAAGCTATGGATGCACATGACATGCAACGCCATGCAACTCCACCCACCGCCTCCCCTCTCTCTCTCTCTTCATCCGGCCTCACTCACCTCATTCGGCAGCTCCTTGGGGCTCGCCATGACGATGTGGCCCGGCGCCCCCGCCACCAGCAGCCCCACACTGCCGCCCCCCCCTCTCTCGCACTCGTCGTCCCCCTCCAACACACACGTGGGATACGGCAGGGACCGCCACAGTGGCGCCATGGGGCACACTGGTGGCTTGGCTGCTGGCGGCATGTCGATGGAGAGGAGCTGGGTGGGTGTCTGGTGCTGCAGGCCCCAGATCTGGACCTCGTGTGGCAGCCGGACGGCAGCACAGGTGCGCCACGACCATGAGGGGGGCTGGGGGACGGCTGACGGCCCAGCTGTGGGGGAGGGAAGACCACCCTGGCGGAAAGGCAGCTTGAGCAACGCGACACCTGGATCACAACGGTGGGAAGGGGCGATGACTTCACCCACACATTTTGTAGGGATTTCCCTCTCCTGCTTACTCTGGAATGCTTCAGCACCCTTGAGCTCGATCTTGCGTATCTTTTGCGGCAGGGGCAGCGCCAGGAAGGCCGCGAAGTCGTGCACCATCACAACCACAACCGGACGGCCATCCTCGCCAATCTCACCTGAAGAACGACCGGACAATCAGAAAGACGTAGCATAGCATGATGCGTGTAGCCTAGCCTACTTTGCACGGTATAGAGGAATCGACGCTTGGACGTCGGCTGTTTTGCCGTGGCGGTGGTCTGTGTCTGCATGGCGGCCGTGGCTGTGCCGGTGGACGACTCCCCCGCTGACGTGACGCTCTCCGTGTCGCTCCTCGCACCCGGCGCTCTGTCCTCCTCCCCGCCCTCCTCGACGAAGGCCACATGGGTGTAGCCACCGACAGATCCGTTGCCGGCCGGCCAGCACTGTTGCTCCCACAGCATGTAGGGACCGTCACACCCAGCCTGTGTGTGACGTGACGGCAACAGGTGGGCAAGAAAGGTCGGTAGGTGCAGCGCGTCAGTCAGGGTGTGGGTGGCGTGGTGTCTGAGTGTGCTGCCTGTAGATAGAAGCATACGTGTAAAAGTTGGAGTGTGGTGTTGCTCCAGACACAGACGTAGCCCTGTGTCAGGGAGCTGCCTGAACGGAACGGAACGGAACAGTGGTTGGTTGGTTGGCTGATTGGTTGGCAGCCATCCGAGGGTCCGTTCAGTTCAGTGGCCATGTGCGGTGTACCCGGTAGTATAGCGATCCCCGTCACATCACCACAACACGACACCGACGACAACGTCATCTGAACAGAAAAATAAAAACCGACGCCGCTGTTGTCCCGACGAATCTTCCAGGCCCTGACCTGACTGACCATTCGCTCGCTGACCTTTCTGGCAATCCTCTGTTTGACCTGTTCCCTCTCCCTCTCGTCCGCCCGCTGTGTCTTGAGCTCCTGAAGGTCCACGTTGCCGCACAGCAACAGCTCCCCAGCCCCTAGGACCACCAGCAGTGTCTGGTAGGAAGCTGCTGCAGGACTGCGCAGAGACCAAAACAGAGACCAGACCAGCACATCAGCAGATATCTAGATGGACTCACAAACGGCTCCAGGACAACCAACACCTTCCTACCTGTTGTTGTCCAGAAAACTGCCGTCGAGGCTGGTCCTGAAGCAGCACGCCATGGTGGCCACCCGGAAGTCGTCCGACAGTAACTCCGACGCACGGGGCAAACCGAGAAGCTTCAGCTGAGTGCCGCCACACATACACACACAGACACACACACGCACGACACTGATTGCCTGCCTGTGTGTATCGATGGCCATCCATCGGGGGTGGGTGGGTGCGGCGTAGAGTACCCACCATACCATGTGTGGCAGGTGGACCTTCCACGAGAACTCCAGCCTCCCACATGGCCCGTTCTCTGCAGACGAGTTCTCTGAAGCAGCTACGAGGAGCAAAACCATCACAGTGCCTGATGTGATAAAGAAACCAAGCCCACACACACATACAAAGTCACACACATCAAGCACAGCACATCAAGCTCTGCGGACCCTGTGGCGTGGCAGCGAAGAAGAAGTCGCCACATGCGCTCCAGCAGCAGCATGACAGCGCCTTCCCGTCAAGCCTGCTGCCCAGATCTAACCGACAGAAGCCCTCGTTGTGCGACGCTTCTTCCGACGCGGCGGCCGATGGCAGGGCGTTGAGATACACCTCTGACGAAGTGAGGGCTGCGATGAGCTTCCTCCTGGGATGGACGCAGATCTGCCAGATCAGAGCAGAGAAGTTGAATGATGCCCCGAGAGGACTTGTTTCATGTACCTGCAGGATGTCGTGGCTAGTGTCTGCATCTCGGCAACGGAGATGAGCCACGTTCATGCTGCGCCCGCCAGCGCGATCGCTCTCATTGTAAACATAGAGGACAATGGCAATGAGCACCCCAGTGTCACCAGGTAGGCGAAGATCTCGCAGAGCATCCCGCCCGCCATCCCTCTCCGCGTCGGTCTTTGTGCAGCAGGCCATGTGTGGGCAGCTGCACGGAGTATGATGGCATCGCCCACGGAGTCGGTGACTAGTACGGGTATCCTGGTGCGGATTGAGGTTGAGGCTGATGGAGAGCCTTTGGGGCTGCGGATCTCGGTGCGGATCATCACCAAAGGACACGACGGACGGACGTATCGCATCCTTTGCTTTGCAGGCAATGCGCATCGGAGCCGAGGGTGCATCTGCAGTGCAGAGCAGCAGCGGCGTGCGCCCCGCCCACATGGCCAGCAAGACGGCCTTGCGCGCGGCCAATGAGAGCCCCAGCCTGCAGTGAAGGCGATAGACAAGCGGCATCTTAGAGGGCGGGGCGGGGCGGGCGGGCGGGCGGGGAGGGAGGGAGGGAGTAGGATGGCATACATGTGTGGGCGGGGGTAGCTGCATGGCTGTGGTGCCTTCATGTTGGTTGGTGTTTGCTGGGTGTGGCGACGGGTGGGTGCGCCTTGTGCAGAGAGAGGGATAATGAAGCGGCGCTGTGTGTACCATTCATACGCTCTCGTTCTTCTGTTGTGTGCGTTTGCTCCCCCTTGTTCAGTCGGTGCTTAATTGATGGGTGCGGTGCATGACTGCATCGGTGTGGACCATTAATTACATCATGATGTATGGATTATCTCGACAGACACGTAGCCTTCACAAATGCTGATTGATGCTGATGAAATCCCTTGTCGGTCCGGTCGGCGGAGGCCCCACACTGCTCCCTTATCCAGCCCAGCCCCCCACTCGCATACACAAATCGGTATCGACAGAATGTCTCTCGTGTCGTCCATCCATCCATCCATCCATCCACCTCTCTGCCCCCACAGACATGACACATACTTCGTTCGCAGACACAGATAGATAGCCACAGATAGAGAAAAACTCCATGGGACCACCCACAGCTGTACAGGCATCGCATCACCACCGGCCCGGCCTAGCCTGTTGGCTTGTAGGCCAGCACATTTCGATGCCTGTGGTTGGCCGCCTGGTACTCGACACCGTGGAAACCCAGTGACCGCATCGCGCCCTCCATGTCGAACTCATAGTACTGACAGACAGGAACACACAACACAACACAACACAACACACGGACCCCTGCCTGCTACCAAGTGGGCATGGCATTTTCCCCTCCCTCCCACCGCTCCTCCTCACTCACCTGATCGCTCCATGGCTCGGTGCTCTTCATCAGCGTGAATAGCAGGGGAGGCAGATTCTGCAGCAACCAACACACCACAGCCACATCCATCCATCCATCCAGTCACAATTTGGGTTGGGTGCCTGCGTCCATCCATCACACCGACCCTCAGTGTCTGGCTCCTGGGGTCAGTATCGTGCACCACCAGCACCCCGCCAGGCTTCAGCACCCTGTACGCCTCCTTCAGCGTCGCCTGGATGGCGTGCTGGGGCATCTCGTGGCAAAGGAACCACACAACCATCAAATCGACAGAGTCGGCCGCATCCGGCAGGTCCTCTGCCTTGGCGTGCACCCACTGGATGGGGGGGGCGTCGGCGGCCAGCCAGCTGCCCTCGTCCGCACCCACCGGCCCTTCAAGTTTCGCCGTCTTGGCCTCCTTCTCGCGCATCTGCGCGACCGCCAGAAAGTGCGGCGAGAGATCGACGCCAGCAAGGTCGGCACGTGGGAATGCGTTGCGGAGATAGCGCGTGGAGAGCCCGACGGAGCAGCCAACGTCCAGGATGCGACCATTGGTACCCTGACAGACCGCACAGCAGGACACGAACACAAATGCATGATCATTCTCTTTCCGCGCTGTGTGGGGGTCATCACCTGGTTGGTCAGTGTGTTGTAGACACCCCCCAGCTGAACAACAGACAGACAGCACAAGGGTGTGACATGGCCTGGCACAGCCGCGGAGCGGACAGGTGTGGTCGATGCTTACCTGTTGTCGGTGTCGCTCCGCGAAGTCTCGGACGGCGTCGGTGACTTCGGCCCGCACCCGCTGCTGCGCTGCTGGCGGTGTGAGGCCCTCCTTCGGCCATATCCTCATGCTCCTAGGAGGCGCACACCCAAGAATAAAGACAGACGCACCGGATGACACACATAAATGAAGAACAAATGGCCTGACGATCACTCACATGACGTACGCCGCACTCTCTGCCTCAGAAGCAGCCTGCCAACCGTGCCAAGACACACACACACCACACCACACCACACAGGGGATCGCGATGTGCATATGCATCTAGCTACGGGCGTGGCCATTCCTTCCGCTGACAAACCAGCCAGTTGAGGTTGCCAGGGCTGTCGTAGCCGTGGAACGACTCTCTGTAGTAGTCGGGGTAGGCGATGTTCCCATCGACGGCCCTCATGGCACTCTCCAGCTCTGCCCGCACCTGTGGCTGCGCCATTCTCTCCACCTCCTTGGACCACGCTATGCCGTTGTCCTCGGCTGTCGATATCATGGCCTGCAGACAGACAGACAGCGGCACGATGACAAACATACAAGTTGACTGGCAGTGGCAGTCATCGTATCGAGCTGCTGACCGACCCGTCTTGCGCCGAGCTTTGCAATGCCGCCAAGCACTTTGTTGTTGATGACCGCGTTGACGACGTCTGACAGCATGCTCTTGCCAGCCCATGGAGGCTGCAGCAGACAATAGATACACACAGATTGGTGCAGTCACAGGCCTCATTGTCATGAGATCTGCATGCTTCCGACCTTCTCAGCTGACGCATCTGCGACTGCGGCGAGACGGTGAGGCCTCTGCTGCCGGCTGATGCAGCTCCTCCCATGTCTGCAGATGCCGGCCGGCGCTGTGAAGGCGTGCGAGAGGGATGGTACGAAGATCAAGACCAGAAAGCAAAGATGCACGGCTGATGGGATCATTATAGCTGTTGGTTGGCAAGGTTGGTTGTAATCTCGTTGGGCATTTTTGAGCTCGCAATGGGAAGGGGAGTGGTCGAGCGGCAGGAGATGAACTCCCCCGCTGGATGGTGCGCACATGACGATAGTTACACATGACGATAGTTAGCATTCGTATGCGATGGGAAGGAAAGGAGCGTCATGGTGGCAGACAAGTGAGAAGGCAGCCCAGGCAGATCCCGAGCTTCGTCATCGCTTCTCTTGCCTGGTGTATGTGTGTCTGAGCAGCCTCGCTTCCACGTGACCCATCCCGCCGTAAGATCTGACGATGTCGCACCAGCAGCAGCCCGGCGAGCCGTTCCCCGTGACCCTCTCACGCGGTGGAGCGCCAGCCTTTGCCCTCTCGGCCTCCAAAGAGTTGGCCTTCGGCATTGACGATGGCTCCCTCTCACCTGACGCAGCGGCCCAGCTCCTGACGCAAGAGAAGGCCGACCCCAACGGGCGGTACTACGACACTTCCCTCGACCGTTTGGATTCTCTGCTGCATCTGGCTGCCGAGAAGTGTATCGGAGAGGATGGTGCCGCGATGCTGGAGTGCCTCATCAAGGACGCTGGAGCGGATGTGAACTTCGTTGATGTTGTTGAGGCCGGCAACAACAGGAGACCACTGGACTCCCTGCTAGCCCGCCTGCGTCGAGCCGACCGCCGTCTGCTGTTGGCCCTCCTGCCCATGATCGAGACCCTCCTGAGGCACGGCGCCAGGTGCTACTTTGGTGGTGCTGGTGCGTTGCAGTCGCTCTTCGCCAGTTCCGCCATGGAAGAGGTCTCGGCCACGGGGTGCCTTGAGGTCGTCACTCGGCTGACCACTGCCGCAGCAGCGGCACCCACACCACCCAGCCTCGGCGGAGACTTCGCTCTCAGCAAGGCATGTAGGTGCCAATTCCGACAGGAGGAGGACCAGCAGCAGCAGCAGCAGGAGCAGCAGAAGAGAGATGGGGCGTATGACAGCCACGCGGACCCCCACATCGCCATTCTCGAGAAACTAGTAGAGGGGATGGGGCGGAAGGTGCTGGAGGGCTTCATCGCCAAGGAGGCGTTGAATCACGCCGTCGACCGTCAGAACAGAGCTGTGGTGTATTGGTTGGTGAGGCAGGGAGTGAGGGCTGATGATGACGCACTCTCTCGTGCTCACTGGGATGTGGATGTGATATCATTGCTGGTGCGTGAGGCAGGAGCTCACGTAGACAGGGGGTGGCGGCAGCCCCTTGTCCGCTTTGTGGGGGGAGGTCACGACACTGCTGCGCAGCACCTGATCCAATTGGGGGCATCGGTAGACAGAGCACTCACCCACCTTCCCACGACAGCCAGAGATAAGCAGCGCATTTTGTCGGTGTATCACGACTATCTCAATCGCTCTGTCCCCACACACGCCATGGGCTTCATCAACACGTCCCTCGCCCCTCTGCGCACTCTGTCTGCCCTGTCGGCTTCCCACTCTGTGTTCGGTGTGGGTGTGTTGTGCAGTCAGATTGCCTCGTACGTAGAGCCTCTACCGCTGCCCTTCTCTGATCGCACGCCACTCGGGCGGCGGCTCAACGCGGCACTGTCTTTCTTCGTCTCACGTGTCTGCAATGTGGCCAGCCCCTGTGAGCGGCGCCGTTTGTTTCGGCACACTGCCTTCGTCACGCCACACACCACACACACGGACACATCAGATAGCCAGGGAGGGGGAGAGGGAGAGGGCGGGCAGGTAGGCGAGGGCATCGTGTATGGCCTCCGTGACGTGATCCACCTGATTCGGTGTGAGGAGGCGCTCCACTACCAGCTGCCTGACATCGACAGTGGATTCGGCAATGGCAAGCCATTCGAGTGTGCCTTCGATGGCCGTGTGGTGGTGGGCGGGGCGGGGGGAGGGCAGTGTGTGGTGCAGACGATAGATAGGTGGGAGGCCATGGGTGAGAGGAGGCCGCCCGGTGCGCTGTGGAGTGAGGAGTCATCGGATGATGATGATAGCTCGGACGACTCAGATGAGGATGACGACATCGATGAGGTCAGCAGGGAGGGGCACACAGTCACATGCATGTGATGATCCACTGTTGTGTGTGTGCAGGACGGCATGGATGAGGACGGCCTGGAGGACGCCGGGGACGGCGACGATCTAGATGAGGTGGAAGGAGGCACATGTGCACACGCATGATTTGTGTGGTCTGTGTATGTGTAAAGGGTTTCATGGCCGAGGACGGCATGGACGGCGACCTGGGAGAGGAGGACGGCGATATGATCGACGACGATGACGAGCCGCAGCACACTGAGGACGACCAGTGAGTTGAGGGGGGAGGGGTGGATGGGGGCACTCTGCATGAGTACACACATGGCTGTCTGTCTGTCTGTCTCTCTCACAGGAGTGTCGATGAGATGGATGAGGAGCACAGCAGCAGCGATCCGCTCATCTGAAAGGCTAGGTACGCCAAGCGACTCGCAGACCACCGGCCTCTCTCCTCTGCTGCTGCTCACGGCTGTGTTTGGTTGTCTGTGTGCTTCAGATCACAGAAAGTAGCTATTGGTTGAGTGGCCGGCCGTTGGTGCCCCCATCACGCCCATGACCGACGAGTACGTGTCGTGGGCCCCCTACCAGCAGAAGGCCTCTCTTGCTGGAGATTCGCTGCCTGGCTGGATGCATCCACCCACCCACCCATCCATCCATCCATCCATCCATCCATCCATGTGTCTTCGTGTGTGTTCATGTGTGAGACCATTTGCGTGTGTGTGTATGGGGGGTGGTGTCCATCTCGATGCGTTCGTTCATCGTGTTGTTCATTCAACCCGTGTGTACAGCTAACTAAGAGCTTGGCGGCAAGAAATCTCCTTTACCCACTCACTCATCCATCCGCCCTGGCCCCTTCCCCTGCGGCTCAGCGCTTGTCCGTTGCAAGGTCCCTTCCCCGGCTTAGCTCGCCTCTTGAAGTTCTGAGCTCGCAATTTTCGTCGGCCCCCCCGGCCGTCGATATTTGACCCTTCCCAGGCCGCCCCTTCTCTCGCCATCTGTTGGCCCTTGCTGTTGAGACTCTGTTGAGTGAGACGGTGTCTATCTGCGTTGCGATTGAGTGAGGATGCTGCCCTTCTACCCCTACAGAGGCCACTGGATGGGCACGGCGCCTGCTCGTCCGCCTCCCCCCACATCTGGTTCTCCACAATTCATCCGTTTCCCCATCGCCTCGCCTCAACTTGCCCCACCTCCCCCGGCAGTTCACATGATGCGTCCTATCGTCTGTCCTCCTCTCGTCACACAAGGCCCCTCTTGCGTGCCGCCGCATCCCACGCCCGCTCCTCCCTTTGCCGGGCGCCCCAATGCCATAAGGCCCCCTCTCGTCCCCCCGAGCTCATTCTTCGTCCCGCCATACCCCACCGTCGCCCCTCCCGCGTCTGCCATGCGGGTGAGACCCCCTCTTGTCGGCGCCCCTCCCCTGAGGCCTCCCATTTCGCCTGCTGTTTTCGCTGGGTCAGCAGGAAAACGGAGCCCACATCTGACTGGCAATGCCTCGGAATGCTGTTGTGTCGTTTGTGTGTGTCTATGACTCAGATCGCATCATCATGTGCGAGTGGCTGTACAGGTGTCACAAGCAGCCGTCACGAGACATCATCCTGCCGCAGCTGCATCTCTGTCATCTGGTCGGTCTTTTCCACTCCAGAATCGCCTTGTCTCTTTCCACCATGTCATGTGTGCGTCTCGGACAGGTCCGGTGACCGTCACGCCGGCGCCAGCCGACGATCGTCCTGTGTTCGGCAAGTGGAGGTCCAGAGACGTTGTCCCGCCGCCACCGCGTTGTCTGATTGGCCCTGCAAGTCCGCGGCCGCTGATGAGCCAGCAGCAGCTGCGCAGCAAGCGCAGGAGCATCTTCAAGTGGACCAGGCGCAGGACTAACAATACGCAGGTGGACGAGCATTGATTGACTCGTCCGTACTTGGGGTTATCCGCACTTCGTGTCTGTGTTGATATGGGTGTGTGTATATTTGCAGAGACACGCTACCTGGGGCGAGAGCAGTGCCCACATGGTTCCGTCTGAGGTGTGGCGTCAGGGGGTGGTGTCGTCCCTTCCTCTGGCCGACGTGGTGGCCCTGCGCAACACCTCGTCTACCTTCAGCTGCCGAGACGTGTATTCTGTGCCTGTCGACGTCTGGCGGGAGCTGATGATGCCCTGCTTTGCTGTGAGGGATCTGGCGGCCATCCGGACCACCTCTCGCAGCTTCGGCATGTCAATCGTCTCCGCCAGGGAGATGCTGCATCGCCTTGACGCTCTCCTTGAGGGCCACAAGCTCACGGGGATCATCGATATCGAACGCGCAGCAACAGGAGCCGGGATTGGTGGCCTGCAGTTTTTCCAAGCCCTGCTCCAGTGCTGTTATCTGCTGGAGCAGGGTGCTACCGAGTGGCGGATGATGAGACATTTCATCCGTGCAGCGGCATGCTATCGGCTGACCCCTGACAGCGGGCTGCCTCTGAAGGTGTCGGCTCAGCTGGTGACTGAGGAGCTGCCCACCCTGCCCACCGACCAGCCCCTGATGATGGCCATCTATCGGCTTATTGGGCCTCTGCTGACCTACCCCTCCGGATACACACTGGCGCTGCGGGACGGTGACGATGAGGGAACCTATCGACTCGGCAGTTATGAGTTCCGTGTGGTGCCGCCGACTGAACTGCCCCCCGGCCATCGGTATGCGCATAGATACAAGGCGGCCGATCCTGTGGTGCGGCTAGGGCCGTTTGCGGAGGGATCCCGGCTGCTGCCGTCCTTCTCATCGCTGCTGTTCCACTGCCTCTGTGAGCGTTGGCATATCCGACCCGCACCCAAGGAGAGAACCGTGCTGTACAAACTCTTGGGGCATGCTGACCCGAGGTATCGGTCTCTGCTCACGAGCGACATTCCTGATGAGGACGGCATTGTCGCGGACAGCCTCGTCGACAACGGAAACCTGCAGGCGGACGCGGCTGAGCATCGCTATGTCCTCATCAGCGGCTATCGACCGGACGAGACATCCGGCGGCATTCTCTCGGTGGGAGGCGGCAGCGTCAGTCTGCTCACCAACGAGGTGCCCATCGGACTCGCCGATTGGATGACTGACGCCCGTCTGCCCGTCGCGATGCCGCCATTGCGGCGGGTGCTGAGGCCCTTCAACTTAGAGTGGGACATCATCGACAGTCGGCGACTCAACACGGAATACTGGATGGACTGATGCGTATTAGTCGCCCGGCCAGAAGGGGAGACAGGTAGCTGTGAGTTGTGTTTGTATGTCTACGAAGGGCACATCCATGAATGAGACATTGGCTGAGTGGCGGCTGAATGCACGAGCGGGCAGCGGATCGGATTTTTCTAATCGATTGAAATGAGAACCCTGAGTCTGTCGATCAGCGACTTGAGGGGACATGAGACACGGCAAAAAGTGCAATCGTTGAAAGCATGCTCACAGAGAGAAATCCAACAAGCCCTTCATTGATTCACCTCACCACACCACACCCTACCACACAACTCACATCACCTTGCATCACATCACATGGCCCCCCAGTCAGTCGCCCGTCTGCACAACCAGGCGTAGCACCTCTACCTCATCGGCGCGAATGAGCTTATTCGTCGGCTCCCACATCACTCGCACGACACACAGCCCTTCCCCCGGTGTCCCTGCTGAATCCGGTGCCCACAGCCCCAGCAATACCATACACCCATTTGCGTCCAAGTCTCTCACCGTCATTTTACCATAATGATCCAGTGCCATTCGTCTCAACGCTAGGTCGCGAAAGAATGGTCCACTCGGGAAACACGACTGAAACGTTATCTGTGCACCCCCTGTCGTCTTGAAGATGAGTCCATCAGAGGAATTGCGGTTGCTGTGCCCATCGCAGACAACGAGGCTAGGCGGGCGTGCCCCCACTGGCAGCTCAGGCGCTGGATGCAGGCTGGTGTCGATGAAGCAGCCGTGGATTGACGCGTCGCTGCGGATTAGGAAGACGAGACAGCTGGCATCGCCAACACGATTGAGCATATCGGTGTACGCAAATCCATGCACGGTGCCCCTGCAAGGACGCCACGCGCAAGAATAAGGAATTCAGCAGCAAATCAAGGAAGGCCGGATCACGTAAGTATCGTAATACTTGTACAGCAGCTCGACGCCTGTGATGTGTTTGCCCGTCTTCTGCAGTATGGCCATCAGCTGACTAACGGAGACGGTCACAGAGGGGCTGGGGATGCACGGCCCATCGCCATGCAGCCGCATCATGGGCTCCATCACCATTCCGTGTCTCTCCATCTCTGACAGAAGTGACGCCTTGAGACGTTCAGGCGCGTATGGGGGGTCGATTCCACTCATGGGTGCAGCAGCACGCATTCGCCCGGCAAAGTCACGAACAAGCATCCCCGCAGAGACATCAGGGCTAAGTGAGGAGAGGTAGCGATCCGGCATCCGGGTCATGTTCTGGAAGGTGGCCAGCGGCGGCTGCTGCGATTGGCTTGCTGTGAGCGATGGGAATGGAGGTCCAGTAGTGCTTCGCGAGTAGGCAAATGCTGCCCCCTGCATCTGATGGCAGACAGGGGGAAATGACATGGTGTCCGATGCCTTCTGCGCCGATATGATCCCACCTACCCGCTTGATGTCGCTGGCCGTCAAGACGAGGCGGCTCTCCACTTCTTTCCATGTCCAAAAGACCAGGTCAGGGCCGAAGCGTCGTTCTGTGGCCATATTGAGAGCATCCAGATGGGATGAGACATCGGGGCTATCGGGCAGGACGATTGTCAGGCTATTGATGGATTGGATCTCGAGCAACGACCATATGCTCGACAGCAGGAAGGTGCCGGGCTCAACAGCATCCGAATATGGCACTGCAGTGAGTGAGACATAGAGACATAGAAACCCCAAGCCGTCAAATAAAACGAGCGGACTCGTTTATGTCTTACCATCCAGGTGTATGACTAGGCTGTTGATGTGGGGCATCTGGTCCTTGTGATCGCCCAGTGTGATGCCCTCCCTCTCGTTCTCAGCCTTGACGAACTCCCGACGATCCTCAGACATGAGCCCGAAAGTCAGCGTGCTGAACCCACCGTGGCCTCCACCGATGAGCGCTTGGCGCACCTCTGTCTCGCTGCCGCCAATGACAAACGTCTCCAGCGATGGCATGTGAGGCCTCATGACGGCTGCGAGCCGGGATGCGGCCTCTTCCTTGACGATGAGGACCTTGACCTTCTGGAGCTTCTCTTTGATGGCCAGCAGCCTGATGTTCGCATGCTGTCCATCGCCTGGCCGCAACGACTCAAGTGTCAGCTCTCTCGGCACCCCCGACGTGCTCATTTGCCCAAGCAGGACCAACACGTCTGTCGCGGTCAAGTCCATCAGATGCATGCTGTCGAGACGCGGCCCTTTGCTCAGCACTGCTTTGGCAACCCCCAGCCCAATGCGACTCGAAAGCGTCAGGCTCTTCACGGCCAGGAGGCCATCGCTCTTGAAGGCCTTGAGTTCGGCAGGATCTGGCGGGATGGCGTTGGCTGGTGGAGTGAATCCCTCGGCACACTTGATGGAGATCGTGCACCTTGTGAAGCTGCAGATAAGCCTGAGGTCGTCCACCATGCTGTCGTCGATGGTATCGTTCGATCTGTCCAGTTGGTCTTGTGTGACGGTCCACACGTAGTGGTATGCAGCAGATGATGGTCGCAATTTAGCGTCCGGTTTCGACGAGAGGACACTCGGGGTCCTCAACTCGGGGCCCCATTCGCACGTTACAGTACTCCAACAGGGCACTGAGCAGTTGTGGACCGAAGCCGGAGACCTCGGGGAATTGGGTATAAGCCAGGAGATGGTTGAGCGGAAATTCGATGTCTCCACTGCCGTCGGCTGAAGAGAAGCCGTCGACTGAAGAGATGTTACCAACAAGGACGGTGGACGGAAAGTGGAGACATCGACGAAGGGGGCCGCAAATACGCTCTACGAAGGTGGCCACGGCTTTGAATGTATCGTAGTCGTTGAGCAAGAGGGAATGGCAGTCGCTGTCCGACACAACGAGCACCAGGTCTACCAGCGACTTCGAGCACCCACGGTCCACCAAACACTTCTGCAGACAGTGGGAAGCAAGAGAGATCGGCATTACTGACGCCACCATTTTCCCTGCTTTCTGTGTCTCAGTCTGTACCTGCAGCTGCCGGATTCCGTCTCTGATGTCGGTCGGTTCAAGTCCATAGAATTTGATGCTGTCGACATACTCAAGCTTTGCCAGAGGCCCCTCAGTTCCCGGCTTTGCCGGAGGGATGGCCTCAAGCAGCTCAGCAAGCTGCGGTGGAGCAGCGGGAACCCTCACGTGTAACTGCTGAAGGGATCTGGTTGAAGCAATGACTGGTCTGATGCAGTCGTTGTCCTCGGTCGCCACATCCATCACGCTCTCGAGCGCTGGCAGGGCCCATCCCCGCCCATTCACCACAGAGTGGCCGTCGTGGACGCACTCGAAATCCGTGAGGGCCGGGAGGTTGATCGATTGGGAACGGACGGCGGCAGGAGGAACGGCATTCACAGTGTTGGCCCGCTCGATCTCAGGGAGCCCAATGTTTGGAATCCGCACCGTTTCGAAGGTCAACGACTTGAGGGACCCCTCGCTCATCGTGGTGGCAGGCCCTGCTTCTGTCGCGCTATTTTTTGCCCCAGCGCGTGGCCCTCGATGAGCGCGATGACGCTTCCGAAACACCACAATGGTGCATCGATGTAATCGTCGTCGTCATCGTCATCAGAATCCTCACTCAATGAATCATCGTCATCGTCCTTCGAAGCCCATGAACACGGAAAGCGGTGTGTGACGGCAGTCAGGTTGATCATCTGCTTGCCGAGCTCGTGTGCCGTCTGCGGGGTCATCTGCTCCCAAAAGTTCCTTTGGCATGTGTTGCTGTAGTCGATGACGAGCCCCGTGTGGTGCTGTAGGACAATGCCGCTGACTGGCGAGGGCAGGGGCGGCTTGAGACACCACACGGGGTTGATGAAGGCGTACAGACCGACTTGAAGCTCACGAGGCTGCACATCGACAGGCGACAGACGAGAGACACACCCTATCGGCTGCGTCTTGGGTCCTCTCTTTGTCCCTCTTACCACTGGAATGCCTTGCCAGCCCTGCATCCGAATGGCCTGCACGAAGTATCGGAGAGAGAGAGATGCATGACGCATGGGTGCTTGTGGTCACGTGTCTTGCCTTGAAGACGCCAGCCATCGCTTTGTTGTCCGCCGCAGAGGCATTGTTGCCAGCGGGGTGACCCGAGGAAGAGGCTTCATCGTTCTCGCTGCCTGAGGGCAAAGCAATTGGGGCAAAGTGAAATGGCAACAGATAGACCATACACTTTCGCCATGCATGATCAAGCGTACCAGGGCGACATCGTCGCCTCCGAGTCATTCTGTGGGCAGGCGGGGCGGCCCGATCGTCTGCAGTCAATCTGCAGTTGCGAGCTTTGCGGGGCGGGGAGGCGAGGCGACCGACACATGGCTCCTTTGACGTGTTGTACAGCATCGGGCACTCATAGATCTGAGTGACTGAGAAGCGGCATGGCCTCGCCAGCCCTCGACGCGCCGTTCTGGTCAGGCGAGGACGGGCCGGAGGTGTACTGTCCGTCGCGCTGGGGTGTGTGGTCGCCAAACGACCAAGAGTGGACATTCATGGTGCAGCAGATCTGGGAGGTGAGACCAAACACTGACATGAAGTGCATGCCACATGCAGCAATGCCGCAAGTGTGGTTCTCTTGTGATCAGGAGGAGAGCATGGCGCTCAGGTGTTCGTCGCACAGCGACGCTCCCCGCATCCCCAAGATCATCCACCAGATCTGGCTCGGAGGCAACCAGATACCGCCGGAATGGTACGGCAGACACACATCCGCACATAGCTTGTCACAGGGAACACAACGCTCTCTCTTTCTCTCTCTCTCTGTGTGTGTGTGTGTGTGTGTGTGTGAGTGTTCAGTATCCCGTGGATGGAGTCGTGGAAGCGCTACCACCCTGACTGGGAATACAAGTGGGCATACAGTTTGGATTGCGCACTACTCTGGTTTTCCTGCATTGGACTGCGTGTGGTCAGGCTGTGGCAAGATGGCGACCTGGAGAATCTCCCGTAAGGAACGCAAAGCCAACAGCACCACACAACGTTGCAATGCATTGACGTTTGTCCTGCCTGCCTGCCTACCTGCCCGTGTGATGGTTGTGTGCAGGCTGCTGCCCCGCTGCCGTGCGTTGATAGCATCGGCCTCCAACCCGGCAGAGAAGGCCGATATACTGCGGCTGGAGGTGGATGGGCATCAGAGAAGCCTGCCTGGCATGAGAGAGGGATGCCGTCGTCGACTATGTGTCTGTCGCCTGTGTGTCTGCTATCTGTCAGCTGTTGCGGCTGTTTGGTGGGCTGTATGTGGATGTGGATTTTGAGTGCCTTCAGCCGATGGACCGACTCCACCACACGTACTGTACCTACGCCGCTATACGACGCCCACCTGCCTGGCCTGCCGTGCGCGGCGGCATTACTCTCTCCTTCTGTCCGCTGCGTTGTTTTGCTGAGTGCCTGCAGGTGTGACTTCTACTGCGGCGCTGCGAGCGTCGGCGTATTCGAAATCAACAACGGCCTCATCGCCGCCAAACCTGGTCGGCCCTTGGCACACACGGACGGGAGAGGGATGGCGGGGCGGAAGGTGTGCATGCCATGCCATGCCATGCGTGGTCTGTCTGGTCTGGGTGTGGTGTCCCTGCCCTGCGCGTGCCTGCCTGCCTGCCTGCCTGCCTCACACGAATGACATGTGGTTCGAACGTTCAGGTAGTGCGCTGGTGTGGTACCTGCTGGAGCGCATCGGGCTGGCGTGGGTGGAGTGGGGCAAGGAGGACGTCGACCCCAAACACCAAACATTCCACATTCTCAACCAAAAAGGGTGCGGTGCGTTCGTAGAGTAGACAGACACTCATAAAGGGAGGCGGGCAACACCACACCACACCACACCCTTCCCCCTCCACATCCCCACTTCTGTCTGTCTGTGTGTGCTTGTCTTGTTGTCCTTTGTCTGTCAGGGCCTTCTCGCTGGAGATGCTTCACAGTCTGGGTGTGGTGCCGCGTGAGATGATGGGCCTGGCTGGTGTGGGGGGTGCGGACACCCGGCAGCCCACCCCGGCTGAGCAGGTGGCCATGAGCATGGGGGCCGACCTGGGCGGCGGGGCGGGGGCGGGCAGGAAGCCCAACGAACCATTTGCACCATTCATCGCAACCACAGGTACTCCCTACTGCAGCTGGTGAGAGAGGTCAACACCTGCAAACGACTGACTGATGTGTGGCAGGTCCCGGCTTCTTCACGCGGGGCATCATGCGCTACTTCCGTGACCGCTTCAACCCTCCCCCCGCCCTGCCCTCCGCATCCGGACCCTCCAGCAGCTCGGAGTCGTCATCGGCCGCAGCGGCCTCCGCACCATCGCCCGCCCCCATCGACTACAGCGAGAAGTGCGTGGTCTTCCCGCCGCGGTTCTTTTTCCCCACACCCAACACGCAGCACCGAGACCAACACATGCAGCCGGTGAGCATAGCCCGGAAGGGACACAGTTGCGTGAAGGAGGCGAGGCATACCGACTTGTCTGTCCTCCTTGTTGTGTGTGGGGGTGTGTAGGGTGAGCGTCATTATGGCGAGTGTTCGTTGGCCGTGCACCACTGGCGGCGGACGTGGCGCGCACCCACGCCGGGGCAGCAGGGCGGGCCGACGCCGCACTAGCTGCTGTTGGGTTGCACGAGGAGGAAAGTGGCGTGAAGGTCACTCACGCGTGTCGCGGGATGGATGGATGATCCCCGTGCATGTGTGTGTTTCTGCCGGTCAATGCGATGCGATTGTGTGACCAGTTTTTGTTCCAGTGGTTTGTTGAGTGATTTGAGCCCCTACTGCACCCGTTGTCGGATAGAAATGCGTCTCATTTTGTCTGACGGCGGGTGTTCACGAACAAACCAACAGGAGAGAGAGATGATGGAATAGCTTCCTGTGTTTTCAGCCATGCATACGACTGGGATGCTTTCGAAGCTTTGGAGACGATTGATTTAATGCGCGTTCGTTGTCCCACCCATCCATCCATCCCCATGTGTTATCCCTCTGTCGGACCCCATCCATGCCATACCATGCCATGCACCCCTTATCGGTAGGTACCACACGAGAGAAGACACCCACCCAGTAGACCCAGCCGGTCAGTCAGTCAGTCAGCCAGCCAGCCAGAAAGCAAATCACAGCCCAGCTAAGGCAGCCAGCCCATAAGTATACACACACCATCCTACCTATCCTAAGTAGGTGGAGTGAACATTGCATCGGGGGCAGGTGGATGAGGTGGGGTGGGGTGTGGGTGTGAGTGTGTCCATCCTAGTTGCCCTAGCCGTCCCTAGCCGTCCCTAGTCGTGCAGCACAGCATCAGCATCCATCCATCCTGTGGGGTGGGGTGAGGAGGGTCACTCATGCAACAAGGGGGAGGGCTTCGGAATGCAGCAGACCACCCACACACATGGCACGGAAAACACATACATCCGATTGAAAGCCACAGACAGACAGCCGTCCGACTTTCTTTCTTTCTGGCTTGGCTGACCTCCGAAGAAAGAGACAGCGGCCTGGATGAGTATGATGACGACCCTCCAGCAGCGCTGCCGCCACACGCCGCCCACCTCGTCCTTCCTCAAGTGGCACTCAACCCTCCCAGCGCTGCCGGGCGCGACGCTCGAGTGGCCAGGAACCTGACGGCCAGACGCGAGACCAACACTGCAACGAAGAAGGCGCAATGGAGTTTTGCACCTTATATGGGTGATCTGCGCGACGATTGTCGTCGGCGTATGACGAATTCTCCACCACCGTGGCCCGGCCAGCAGCAGCGCCACCATCGGCGCATCCACCTTCCCCCTGATCATCGTGTTCATTGCCGCCTTGCAGAGCCTTCCTCAGGTCGCGTTCGGTGGCTGGTGGCCTATAGTCATCCTGTGTGGGTGCGCGGCGCTGCTGAGCAGCGATTTTGTCCTGGATGTCCTCGAAGACCGATGACGTCTGGAGGTAGTCCAGGAAGAGGCAGGGGATCAGGATGTTGGCCACCACCAGCAACACCTGAGCCAGCTTGCTCGGCAACATGTACGAAAGGAGGAAGGGGAAAGGAGGAAGGGCCAAAGGGCCTCCTCGGGAAGAAGCTCGCGCCACGTAAACGGAGGAGAATCGCGGAATAATGGAAGGCCCGCCCAGCCATTTTTCTTCGGTGTCGGGTACGATGGACATGCGCCAGCGTCTGCAGCAGTGGAAACAGGGCAAGGAAGGGTAAGAACGCCCATCCGAACACAGATCTCCCACCTCTGCCGCATTCCAACCTCTGATCTTACCTCCCATGTGTGTATGACGCAGGGATCGCAGCCACACAGGTGCGCAGCGGCGAGATCCGAGTGCAGGGCCAGCGCGGCTGAGGAGCGGAGTCGCGCCTCTTCGCCAGAATGGTGGTGGTGTAGGGGGGCTGCGGACGAGTGGCAGTGCGGGCAATCTAAGAGCCATGGTGGGCAAGGACGCCAAGCGAGATCATGACAATCGGACGCCCGGACGGGTGAGCTCAAGGCGCGACATCTTTGCCATGTTTGCAATGATGTTTTCTTGCTTCTTCTTTGCAGATGTACCGTCCTGGTCTTCCCGAGCCGCCGTCCAAGACCCCCAAGGGGCTCAACCAGCTGCCCATCCAGCGGCCTCTCAAGCCTGTAGCGCAGATCGCGGGCAGCGGGGAGGGGCGGGTGGCCGATGGAGGGATGCAAGGAGGGACCGACGAGGGCAATAGCAAACGGTGAGGAGATCCGTCTAGAGAGAAAGAAGGACACAGTTGATGGCTCACGGCTTGTGTGTGTGTGTGTGTGTGTTCAGTGTGTCGGCTGTGGCGTCGACGGCACGAGAGATGGTGTTGATAGACTTCTCCGAGAGTGAGCTGGAGTCGCTGCTGCAGCGGGTGGTGGAGGAAACGCTCGAGCGCAAGCTCAAGCCGGTGTACGACCTGCTGGCCGCCGTAGAGACCACCATTCAGCAGCAGCAGGGGCAGCAGCAGGGGCAGCAGCAGGGGCAGCGGGGGGCGGAGGGGACACTGGCTAGTGGGGCGGCGGGCGTAGACATAGCTAAGGAGAAGGAGGGTGGCATAGAGAAAGAGGGGAACAGGGGGCCGAGGATGAGCATCGCCTCAACCAAGTCAGCACATGACACCCCCATCGACAGACAATGTTCATATAAAACACATCCATTGTCCATTTCCTCTCTCTGTTTCCCTCACTCGTTCAGGCCAGAGCCGTCCGTCAAGAGTAGCCATACCGACACAGCCCCCATCGCCACACAGACCACACTCAAGACCTCCCCTCCCCCTCCCCCTCCCCCACCCCCGCCCCAGCAGACCACAGAGAACAACACCAGCCTCCCGCCGCTCTGCCCCACATCGACCGTCGACACGACAGTGGGTGTTGCTGCTGCTGACGGTGTTGGTTTTGGTTTTGGTGTTGGTGTTGGTGTTGGTAGTCGTCGGTCGCACAATCCGCTGGCGTGGCTGGACGAGGAGGAGCTCGAGGGCACACCCCACCAGATGAGGCTGGCCAAGCTCATACAGGAGCAGGAGGACAGCGAGGAGGGAAAACTGGCGGACAAACAGGATAGGTATGTCGGCCGGTGGGGTGGGTATGGGCCACTGTGGGGTGTGTGATCTGTATTTCTGTGTGTGTTCTGTCCTGCGTGTGTGTATGCAGTGGTATGTCTAATACTGGTGGGGACGCCATCGTCGTGTCCGATACTACACCCGAAAGCCGCGTGTACACTGGCAGGTATGTGTCCATACACACAAGTGGCCATTTGAGACATGTCGAGAGTTCTGTACGCAGTCGCATCAACGAGGTGGATTCTGCTAAGTTGGCGGCGCTGCGTCGCGACGGCCCGCTATCGGGCGGCCATGGGGCGACGGTCACGGGGGAGGAGCTGGGGGTGGGGTTCTCGCCCCTCAGTGAGCGAGTGACGCCCCTCGGCCGCCACCCCGCCTCTGCATCCAACAAGACAGGCAGCAAACCACACGAGCCCACGGTACGGTCGGCGTATACGAGACACCCACTACACTGTCCTTCTGTGCATCTGTGTCTCTGTGTGTGGTTTGTTTGTGTTGCAGAGCGAGCTTCTGAGCCGTGTGCATGACCTGTTGCGGGACCGCAGACGCAGCCGTGAGGGCGGCCAGGGCAGCGACGCCCACTCGTCACCCCGCCCCAGCGACAGGGCCAACAACTGACCTACCCACAGCCACACAGACAGACAGACAGACAGACCGATGGATCGATAAATAGATGGCCCATGCAGGCAGACAGACAACAATGGGAAGCGATTGTAGCCGCACGTAGCTATGGAGAGGTGTGGAGAGTTGGCTGACTGTGTGTCTGCTGCCTGCAACATGCGATGGGCTGCCTGTGTGTGATATGGCTGGACTCATGCAGACAGCTGGTGTGCTGTGGTCATTGAAATATTGAAATGCTGCTGTTGCAACGGTGTGTCGCTGACGGCGTCCACCACCAGCCGCCAGTGGACCAGCTGCGGGAGTCTCGGAAGGATGCAACAGCACTCACGAAAGAATGCACCGTGATGTGGGTCTTCATTATGTTTGCTCACGCTAGGCAAATGCTCTGTCCGTCATGCATGATCATCGATTCGGTAACTTGTCGCTGCGATGTGCAAGAGGGTAAGCACCGGTAGGCCACTCATGAAGACCAGACAGATTAATGACCGCAATGGCTTCACTCCTCCACAGTCCCTCCCTCCCTCACAGTATACATGTGTTTTCTCTTGTTGTCTTGTGTTTGTCAGATACAGAACCGATTTGCGCAGATTCGGATGCGAAAAAGGAGAAGAAGAAGGAGTGAAGTTTGAATGAATGCAGGAAGATTCGGCTCGGCATGCATGCGCACAAGTGGTGTCCATGTGGCTGTCTGACTGGAGTGTCTGTCAGCAGAATGTGTGTTCGAGGTTGATTGGTGTACTGCGTTGATTCATTCACTACGCCAGCCCACCGAGGCTTACCCCTTCAACCCCAACGGCTCACCGCAAGGCATCGTCGGCCTCTGCAGCCCTGACGGCCGCCACCTGGCTCTCATGCCACACCCCGAGCGATGCATCCTCACCTACCAGTGGCCGTACGCGCCGCAAGGGTGGACCAAACAGCACAGGGAGGGGGAGCTGTGGGGCCGGCACGTGGCGCCCTGGATCAAAATGTTCCAGAATGCACGACAGTGGTGCGAGAGAAATGCGTAGCTGCTGGGTCGGTGGCTAGGTGGTTGCGTCAGTCGGGGAGCTGCTTGTCTCGTGTGTGCGTGATGACTGGCTTGTCTTTTTCCCTCTGTCACTCTCCTCTGTGTGGTGTGAATCATATTATGCTGGCCGATCGACCAATGGGGTCATTTTTTGAATGTCGTGTGGCGTGATCGTGTCCGTCGGTCCGTCCCGAGAGAGGGAGGGGTACCGGCGCGTAAGGCCCTCTAGCTAGATCTCGCAGTGGCGGGATCCGTAGGACACTTTTCGTGTGTGTTTATGTGTGTGACAGTCAGTTAGGTGTGTCTCTGTCTGTCTGTCTGTCTGTCTGTGTGCAGCGACCGATCGCCCACTGAATACGCAGACGTACACACAATCGCAATCAATCAGACTCCCCACTCCCACACTCACAAGCAATTGCAAGCGACCCGAAGCAAGCAATCGGGTGTGAGTCGAGAGAGATGGTGAGCGGTGACGTGGAGAGCCAGACGCCCCTCATCGGGCAGCGCGGCCAGCTGGTGACCAAGGACATCGAAGTGGACATTCGCAGAGACTTCATCCTCAAGGTAGCTTACCCACGTGTCGATAGATGTCTCACATCAGCTGACTGAGCGTGACTTGCTTTGTCCCTGTTGTTTGTGTCTCCGTGATCAGGTCTATGGGATACTCGCCACGCAGATCATCCTCACCGTCCTCGTCGCGCTGCCCTTCGTACTCGTCGACGCCGTCCAGAGTCAGATGAGACACACACAAAGACACACACACAGAGAGAGAGAGAGAGAGAGGGACACCGTCGTGTCTGACTCGTCTGTATGTCTGTGTGTGTGTCTCGGTGCATGCAGCGTTTGTGCGCGACAACTCGGGCCTGATCGGCTTCGTGACCATCCTGAGTGTGTTCGCCTTCCTCATAACCTTTTCGCTGAAGCCTGAATGGATCAAAACGCACCCCTACGGACTAATCGTGAGCCGCGGACAGCGAGACACACAACAAAGAGGGCCATCCATTTCATCTCTCTGTGTCGGGTTGGCAGACGCTGTTTGGCTTCACCGTCGTGGAGGGCGTCTTCATCGGAACGCTGTGTGTGTTCCTGACACCCTCGACCGTGCTGTTCACCGTGGGTGTGGGTGTGGTGATCGTCGGATCGCTGACGGCCTGGGCGGTCTTCGCCAAAGCCGACTTCACAGGTACACACACGGCGACACGTGACAGCCACACTCAACCACACACACGCAATGTCTTGCAGGTTACGCGCCGTTCGTCTACGTGGCGGGGCTGGTGTTTTGTGTTGTTCCTCATCGCCGGCCTCCTGTTGATGCCATTCCTGCCTGGCGTACGGACAACTCAGACAAGACACAGAGGACACACACATGTGACTCGCTGCGTGTGTGTCTCTTTGTGTGGATTGTGCAGGTGTCCGTGTTCAACATGGTCATCTCAGCGTTGTTGGTGCTGTTCTTCTCGGCCTACCTGGTCATCGACACGCAGGCCATATTGGGCGGCCAACACAAGTATCAGTTCACAGTGGACGACTACGTCTTCGCCGCACTGGTGAGCCCCACCCCCAACACGCGCAGTGACATACACGGCAATCAGTGTGTCGTGTTGGTCCTGTAGGCGATTTACCTCGACATCGTCAACATCGTATAATTCTGATCCAGCTGCTCTCTGCATTCGGACAGCGCAAGTGAGAGCAAGGCCGACAGACAACAGGGGACAAGGGAAGGACAGCCACACAAGACTGACTGACTGCCTGACTGACGACGTGTAAGAGAGATCAATGGTTGACAGACTTCTTGATTGATGAATGCACTCACATTCATTCAAGTCACTGATATGATGGGGTGAAATGTATGTAGAAAACTGAGTATCTGCACAAACGGCACACCATCCGTTCATCCATCCACCAGCGCACGCACATGCTGTCGGTGTCTTGCGACTGCGATGACACATCATGCACGTAACTGCCATTTCACACCTCTTCGCACAAGACGAAAACAACTCAAGACGTGCAAGAGGCACCGAGAGATGGCCACACATCATTCGAATGCCGGCCGCTGTTCTCCACCCTTCCCCCGCCCCCATACTGATGTGCCGTTCTTCCTACACGTGCGTCGCATGGCAGTGGGCTGCATGTGAGCACACACGCAGCAGGCTCGGGCCATCAAGATGAAGGACGGGGGCTGGAGAACATCGCGACATTCAGCTGGCCAGACGAGAGAGGGAGGGGAAAGCTCATCGATGGGGCTGCTCTCTTCTCCAAAAATGTCCATCCCGGCCTTAAAACGCCAACCAATCAACCAGACCAATGCACCAGCACCGTCCGTCCCCCGCTCGCAGAGGGACTTAAATCACCACACATCTAGACATGGCATGGCACGCACCCGCACCTCCCCCACCGACACGACACGAGCATGCATGCGCCATCCGACCGTGAAAAAGCCTTCCTCACTCTTCAAAACGGCCCCACATCACACACACACACACACACGCACAAGCAGACGAAGACTACCACACCTACCGCTCTCTTCTCTATCACTCACTTCTTGGCGACTGCCTCCCTCCTCTGTCTGACGGCCGCAGCGAGGTTCTCGAGCACCTTGACCGTGTCCATCCAGTGGATGCAGGCATCAGTCACCGACACGCCGTACCGCAGGCTCGACAGCACCGTCGACCGCTGCCCCTCTGGGCCGAGCTGCCCGGGCCCGCTGCCGTGCAGGGTGGTGGGGGAGTCGTTCTTGTTGTTGATGATGTCGGACAGCTTGTCGCCGGTGGGGAGGTCCTGCTTGCCCTCGAAGAGGTGGGACTCGATCATCACGCCCATGATGCCCATCTCGCCCTTGGACAGCTGGCTGCAGATGTCCTCGGCTACCTGCAACAAACAGAGACGAGATGTCGCCGTGTGTTGGGCCTTCCCTTCTCCCCCTCTGGCAGGCAGGGAGCAGGACTGACCTTGGGTTGCCTGTTGTGGTCCTTCTGGCTGTTGCCGTGGGAGCAGTCGACCATGACCTTGGGCACCACCTTGTTCTTGGTCAGCTTGTCAGCGGCGCCCTGGATGTGCTCTGAGGCGTAGTTGGGGCCCGTCGCACCGCCTCGCAGCACCACGTGTGTGTCCTTATTGCCCATCGACAGCACGATGGCCGGCAGCCCCTGCTTGGTGATCGACAGGAAACTGTGGGGGAACTGCGCCGATCGCACCGCGTCGATGGCCACCTGTATGTCACCTGACGAAGAGCAAGACAAACAAGGATCAGAGAGCGAATGGTTGTCAGTCACGTGGGGATAGAACGCACCTGAGGTGGCGTTCTTGAAGCCGACGGGCATGGACAGCCCCGATGCGAGTTGTCGGTGCAGCTGGCTCTCGGTGGTGCGGGCGCCGATGGCCGCCCAAGCGACAAGGTCGGCGATGTACTGAGGGATCATGGTGTCCAGGAACTCACACGCACACGGCAGCTCCATGTTGTTGATGTCAGCCAGGATGCGACGACCGATCTTCAGACCCTGCCAGCCAAAGAGCACACGAGAGAGAGGTGTGTCAGTGCTCATGCGGCGGGGAGGTGTGTGAAGAGAAGCATGGTGCTGGTCACGTGGTTGATGTCGTATGATTCGTCGAGGTGGGGGTCGTTGATGAGGCCCTTCCACCCCACAGTCGTACGCGGCTTCTCGAAGTACACACGCATCAGAATCAACAAATCCTTGGACAGACGGGTCGCCTCGGCCTGCACACACACACACACACACACGGACACACACACGGAGCAGCCGGCGCGTGAACACTACGTCACACCTTTCTTGATGCGTATGTATCGTATTGCACACCTTGAGTCTTGTCCCATACTCAATGGCGGCCTTTGCATCGTGGATGGAGCACGGCCCCACGACGACCACGAGCCTGTCGTCCTTTCCGTTGAGTATGTCCGAGACGGCCTGTCTTGCCTGCTGCACGGTCCTCTTGCCCTGCGGCGTGTTGGGGATCTCCTCCATCAGCAGCTGGGGGTAGATGACGGCCTTGATGGACTCGATGCGCAGGTTGTCCACCTCGGGGTCGGTGAAGTACTCGGTGAAGTGCCGCTGGGAGGCCGGGCCGCCCTCCACCCCATCAACGGCATCGATCTTCCGCTTTTTCCGCTCCTCACCATTCGCCATCGCTGGCACAGCTGCACCATTGCTCGACATCCCCAATACGACGCGGAGAAATGGGGTGGCAGATCTGCAGAGCTCGCAAGCGCGCTTCCTGGAGGCGAGTGGCTTGCGAAATGAAGCTTTGCACCAGAATGGAGTGCAATGATTCGATGCAGGCGTCCCGGTTGCCGGCCGAGAAACGGCACTCGTGTGTGTGGAGATGCCGGCCACCACCAGGCATGGCAGCGGCTCCGTCAAGACCAAGACCAGCAGCTCGGCCATGTTGTCTGTGCTCAACGTCCCTCGCACTTGTCATCTTTCTTGCCACTATTGCGTCCTCATCGCAGGCTGCCATGCACCGTCACGGCTCCATCAACTCATGGCTGAGGGCATTCAGACCGCACAAGGCAGACGCGGCATCGTGTCCTTCAGCAGCAGCATCAGCATCAGCAGACGATGGCGAGGATGTGTTCATGATGGCTGCGTCTATCACGAGCACGGGCACTGTAGAGGTGGCGCGGCAGCGGCCGCTGAACTTCGTGGCGAGTGCGGTGCAGCAGGTGACGCCCAGCGTGGTGAGGATTGACGTCGTCAGGCCGGTATTCGACCCGCTCGCCGAGCTCTTTGACTTCGACGGCAAGTAAGCCCACCACTCACATACAGGCCGACGTGACACGATGCGATGACTCCATTTGGGCGTGTATGTGTTTGTGCTTCGACGGTCATCACAGCAACCGGCGACAGATGTCGCAGGGCAGCGGCGTGGTTTTCTCAGAGGAGGGCCGCCTCATCACCAACGCACACGTGGTCGACAAGGCCCTCTCGCTTACCGTGACGCTGCACAACGGGCAGACCTACCCTGCCAAGGTGACGGGCTTGGATGAGCTGTCCGATTTGGCTGTGGTCAAGATCGACACACCCAAGGAGAGGGGAGGGGCGGGTGGCCGGAGACCCATCAAGTTCCCCGCCGCCAAACTGGGCAACTCTGATGAGCTGCAGGTGCGTGTTGAACGTGTTTTGGTCGTGTTTGGTGGTCAATCGCACAAACCGTGCTGCGCTGTGTGATGATCAGGTAGGTGATTGGGTGATAGCTGTGGGCAACCCAGTCGGCCTGGACAGCACCGTCACTCTGGGCATCGTGAGCAGCCTGACGCGGTCAAGTGCCGAGGTGGGCATCCCCGACAAGAAGCTCAGCTTCATACAGACCGACGCAGCCGTCAACTACGGTGGGCGGGCGCACAGACCAAAGGAGAGACGCCCCGGGGTGTGTTGATGACATGTTGCCACGTTGCCTGTACAGGCAACAGTGGGGGTCCCTTGGTGAATGAGGTGGGTGAGGTGGTCGGCATCGCGACGGCCATACGGCCACACGCAGAAGGCATCGGTGAGAGACCACACACACACACACACACACACACGCACGCACACAGAGATTTCATCGCTTCTTCTGTGTGTGTGCAGGGTTTGCCATTCCGATCAACAAGGCCAAGTCGATTCTCGATCAACTGAGCGAAGGAAAGACCATCCAGCACGCATACGTCGGCATACAGGTCAGTCAGCCAGAAAGCATCACTCACTCACCGGTCGACGCAGTCATGCGCACGTGCGACTGTGCAGCTGTCAACACTGAACCCCGAGTTGGCACGGCAGAAGAATGAGGACCCCAACTCACCTGTGGTCATCCCTGAGGTCAGCGAGCCTAACAGGCAGCCAACGCGCGAAGACGTCCACACACAGAGAGACGGCAGAGGGCATCTGTCTCGTTCGTGACGTGTGTCACAGGTCCACGGTGCGTTGGTGGAGCGTGTGTTGCCCGACACGCCTGCATCGAGGGGCGGCTTGAGGAGATTCGACATATGTAAGAAACGGCCATCCACACGGCCACACGGCCAGACAGACAGACAGACAGACACCTCTGATACCTTACCTCTTCAGTGGTCGAGGTTGATGGCGAGAAGATCAGATCAGCCGAGGAGATTGTGGTGGGCTAGGCGTTCATGCTCGTGATTCACTTACCCCGCCGACCAGCAAGCATCCCATCCTGTGCTCTTGGTTTCCCTCCCACTGACTGCAGCAAGTGGTCGACAGGACGCCGGTGGGTCAGGTGCTGCAATTCAAGCTGCAGCGAGGCGACCGCGTCCAGACCATCGGCATCAAAACCGAGGATCTCATGGAGCGGGAAAGGAAACGAAGAGAGGTACGGACGAAAGACAGACCCACACGCCAGCACCGAAAGCATCTCGTCCCACCTGCCTGTGTGGGTGTGGGTAGGAGCGAGAGCGGAAGCTCCGCGACCGCCTTCGTCGGTGGCGCAACAATCACAACAACAACAACCCCAATAACAGGGGCCGGGGGGGCGATGATGAGAGTGAGGAGGATGATGCCAGGGGGCCCATGCGGCGAAACAGACAGCCAGTTCCCTACCCTCCCCCAAGGTGGAAGTCGTGAGGGATGGGTGCATGGATGGACGAATGAATGTCTGATGTGTCGACCTGACAGTGGGGGGTGTTGTGTCTTTTGACAAATATGAGACAGACTCCTCCCAGCGTGTGTGTGTGTGTCGTGGAGCGAGTCGATTTAATCTTTATGCGTGCCTGTCGTGTCGTCGGCCGGTCAGGTCAAAGTGTCAGAAAGAGCATCAATCACGTCAGTCAGCACGGACCGCAGCACGAGTCAGTCGAGTCAGTCTGTAGCCATTAAACAAACATACAAATGTATGTGCTGTGCGTGTGAATGAATGAATGAATGAGCGCCCACCCCACCCCACCCCACCATACCATCCTCCGTCAGGGAGACAAGAGAGGTCGCAGACAGACGAGAGAGGAGAGCAAGCCAGGCAGGTAGGTAGGGTAGGTAGGCATTCGGCATGGCATCATCGTATAGCACACGCACCAATGGATTGGATTGGCGAACGCACAGAGACCAAAAAATAGGTCTTACGGAGGGGGG